ATTTTGATACAGCTTACTAAAAGCAGCTGGGCTAAAATACAGTTTTAAGACAATTAACACAGAAACAGGAAGTAATTTGTTAGTACAGAATATGTGTAGATTCAGCGTAAACGTAGTAAATAAATGAATAGTAAATAGTAAATAAATTAATGTAAGTCAATATAATATTTTGTTAGAAGCAAATGTTTATACCTTGGACAACCAGTCAAATAAGTACTGCAGATAGTTCTTCAAAAACTACAGGCATCATCATTAATCCACGGAAAATTATGCTATTCAGAAACACATTTAGGTCTCTTACAAGTAAACTCAGCACTTAACGTCCGTAGATATAACACTATTCAAACTTGTATATCAGTTCGCAAGCGGAAACTTCTGCACCCTACGGGACTACTCTTCCAAAGAAGAAAAAGGGCGAGAACGACTGATTCTTCCTATTGTTTCCCCAGTAACGGTGAATACTCATCAGACAAAATGCACGAGATAATAAATTATTAAACAACAATTATATATATTATTGTTATATTATTATATAACAATGAATATTCTTAATAAGAGTGTTGTTACTTTCAGTCTAATCAGAATTACATAGAAAAGAAGGAAAGGCGATTCCACATACGGCGATATAAAAATAACATACGTAGACTTAAAAGATCTGGCACTTTCTTTTGTTTCAACGGGGAGAGCGCTCTACAGCACTTCCGTGCGCAGCATCCTTTAGATCACACAATTAAATACTAACCTAGAAACTGGCTCAATGAATTTACAGGCGCCTCAGATTCAAAGTATCGGTGGCGAAAGAACGCAAAATCAAACAGTTGCAGCTGCTAGAGCTGGCAGAAAATAACCATCTAATGAGCAAATGCCAGAAACATTCTCTCTTTCAATATTAAAAAACCTCAGTTTAAATGCACAGAACTAATTTGCATTTTGTTGAGGAATACGGAAAGAAGTTATACGTATTAAAAACCGAAATCATAATATCGTTAATTTAAAATAATAACCTTACATCTTTCCCCACCAGAATTTAAGTAATTACAACAAAGGCCTTTAACGATCTTACTAAGATTTTGAATGCTAAATCTAACAACGTTCCAACTTTTACTATTGTCAAGTAAAGTGTCTGAAATTAAATTTAAGGTTTTAGAGAAGTTTGAGTTTTCGTAGGACAAATTTCATGCCATCATTAGTTCTTTCTCATCTCCTTCCAAGAATCTGGAAGAAAAAGTAGTTTAATGAAGAAATATTAATTATTTGTACTTTCAAACTTTACATTTACAATTTCATCAACACTTTTTTAACATTTTTCTTCTTCTAAACTCTGTTTCTCACCCTTGCTCTCCCATATTGTGCAAGTGCATGTGAAAATGTATAGAATTTAAACAAACCCTCTGCTAAACAAAATTCTACAACGTTAATAGCTTAGACGCACTATAGCTCAATAACACCCTATTTAAAGACTTAATTTTCATTATTAATTATTAAATTTCATTATGAATTTCCTTAATTTTCATTAAATCTAAAAGTGTTGGCTGAAAAGCTTAACTTTTAACTTTCAAATACACTACGCTAGCTTTTACTTTAATTCAGCTCCTTTATCGTTTTTTAGTTTGTATTTTAAATTTACCATACATAATATCAGAACACCTTAATTTTACAAAACAGTTAACAAACATATTTCATGAAAATAACATCAAAATTCATCTACATTCGAAAGATTATTTAGTTTGAACTTTACATCACAATGTACAAAATTTGCTAATATCTATCCTGTAAACGTGCCAGATACACGTCAATACAGTCTTTTTGACTAAAATGAAACCAAAACTAAACACGCTAAAACTAAAAATTCTTCAAAATAGATGCATCATTAAACTGAAAAAGTTTGTTGCTGAATAAAACTAGGATGCCCTCGCTTGAGGTAAAACTCAACAGAATACAGCAATTGTTACTCTAAAGCATAAAATCAATTGAACATTTAAAGATATAAAATAAATTTTTACTTATTTTTGTTTCTTTGGGACGCTGATTTCGCACCCCGTCCAGGTCGCTTGCATTTCTCTGAACGGTCCCTCATGGTAATAGACTTCCTCTGGAGCTGTGGAAATTCTGGCGTACGCGGCTGCTTCCAATTCTGGCGTACGCGGCTGCTTCCAATTGATGTGCTGTCGGAAACCTCCTTTAGTCTGCCTGGAACGACCGTTGGCCTAGCTTCCATCAAGTGGTTGTTTGCAACGTAGATTCTGGCTTGTTGATCTGAATTTGACTCGTCGTTGTAAGCCTCATTCGTAGATGAATTTCTAGTCCGTGGGCTTCCCAAAAGTCGTTGCTTATCACGTGGTTGGTCACAGCATTTGAGGGAATTTGTACTGTCATCCATTAAATCTTTTATCAGATTGAGTAACAATTTTTAATTATTTGAATACAGTTTAATTTTCTACATTCAGTCGTTATCAAATGCAGCCAATTCGTCTTTTAAAGATTAACGTTTTCTAAAGGAAACGGATATCGTATTTAAACAAAAACGTCTAAATAAAAACGAGAAATTAACCTGCTTCAAGAAGTAAAATTGTGAATTTTAAGCGATAAACTTACACAAACACTTGTATAAACATAGAAAAATAATTCATGATGTCAATGCGAATTTTTGTCGAAAATTTTGCTGAATAAAAAAATTATTGAAAGATATATACCATTAATTGGAATTCTAATTCATTGAAATTTAATCTATACTGAAATAAAGATTTATTTACAAAAGTGCGAAATTAAAAATAAAATTATTGTGCAATTCAAAATACATTTTATGTTTTGTGCTTACATCCTACATAAAATTTCACTTTTTCGTTCTACATGTACAAATCCTTTGTAGTGCCAGTTTCAATATGTTTCGTTTTTCAGTTTAAATGATAATTCCATTCCTTTCTAAAAAATTCTTTAAAACATATTCAGTTAAAAATCCAAATTTGGACATTGCATTTACTGAATTTTAATTTTTATTTGGAGGTATACAATTCTTTTATCTTTTTTTTAGTATCATGCCTCAATATCAGTAATTTTCAAGCTTGATATTTATTTGTTTCATTCATTATTATGGCATATTTATAAGTTATTATTATTTAAATTATACACTCTTTCAGCATAGCAGTTACAGACTTCCAGGAGAGATGGAGTACATCTAGATGATAGAAAATCACACAGCATAGTCAGAAACGCTTTCCTGGCGCTGTAGTAACGACACAAGAAAGAAAGACACGAACAGGGTGAGAAAACACTTTTATTACGATTAGTGCAGCTAAAATGCTGGGACGGCGTTGGCTGGTGAACGAGATAGATGACGCTAAGTACGCAGAAAAGTCAGCATGTGCGCTGAATTGCGACCGTGCTTATTGTGAAGCTTGATTTTGCCCGCCGATAGAGTGGAAGTTAGGATGATATGCTACACGAACGTGGAGATCGCTGATATGCATCTGGCATATAGAGCCGCAGAGCTCTGATACTGTATTTGTCATTATCCCATTTGTACATAATTTATATACATAATTCACAATGACAATATTTACAGCACCAACGTTCAGTATTTTTTGGAAGAAGGATGTGACAATATACTAACAGAGTTACTTTATTTGTAAATAAATATCAGAAAGAATTTGAAACAAGGTAATTTTAATATTTTTGATAAATATATAAATATGAAATGCTTAACAGAAAACTAATAGGCGGTTTTAATCAGTAAGTGGCTAGATGTACTTTACAACTTTTTTTTTATTTTGTGAGTTTTCGTCTAGATATTTGAAGCTAAAAAATCTAATCAAAATTTAAAGCATTGCGATTAGAGTAATCGCAATTTATGTCTAACAGATTAAAGATATGTCAGCAGCACTGAAATTTAAACGGTTTATATAAAAGCTAAAAGGACAATGAGTAGCTTAAGTGAATTATGTAAACCGGAATTAAGTAAAGTAGAAAAATATCCCCCTGAATTTCTCTAAACAGCAAATAAACAAATAGCATGTTTTTCTGTTAGTATTAACCTACACATAATTTTGAACCTTAGTCTCTTTTTCCAAAAATATGGGATATGTTGCGTTAAGGAAAAAAAAAATATATTGTATTTAGAAGAAGTTATTTACCAAGAATAGTATTTTAAACTACTTATCCTAGAAATCTGTTTCAAGATTAGAAAATTTTTCAGATTGAAATTTAGGATAACTGTGGAGTTAAACGTGATTTTAAGCCTCCAAAAATCCCTCAGCCGATATTAAAGAAGCTTTCCAAAACGTTGTGATATAAATGTGAGCATTGTCCCCCTCCGAATCTTTAAAAGAAACTTTTTGTAACATTAAAGCTCAATTCTAATACAGAAAAAAGTAATTGTTGAATTTTACAGTTCCTGATAGTGCAATATACTTTTTTAACATATAAAATATCGTCCGAAATTTTGCGAACAATTTACGAAATATTAAGAATTATTCAATTTTAAAGCATTTTAATTACTTTTTACAACATTTTAAAGCAAAAATTAACATATTAATAGAAAAAGTTATTACATTTTTTCATGAGCTAGAAATTGGAATCTGCATTTAGATATGTAATGGTTTCTAAAATGTTTAATGCTTAAAAAATATCCGTTACAATATTTCATAATAAAAATATCTCCCAGCTGCAAAATTTAATTATAGATATAAAGAGGGGTATAATCATAATTTGAATCTTTAAGAGCCCTCTTAAACAGTTTCTGGAACCCCATATGAACAAGTATCAAAGAAAATCTAAAATGTGTGCCAAAGATTAAAATAACAACCAAAATTTTTCTTTTTTCTCTCTTATTGCTTCAGAAAAAGGCAATTTAGAAAAAAAATATATGATAATGAGAAAAGTACGATAATGAAGAACGGTGTGTGTAGTTGAAAGCCACACCATTCAGCCACGTGCCGATACACAAGATAAGCAGTGGCCAGTGATTGAAGAAAATTATCATCTTGACCTGATATTTCACCTTCAGTGGCGGTTCAGGTTCAAGATGACAGAAGCAAAGTCCATCATTTTTCGGATATAAATAGTGGAGGAATAACGAATAGCTTTCGAGTTGGGCACAATCATGTTTGTCCTTGCTCTCACGTTCGCAGCTTTAGCTGGTGAGTATGAACTTATTACTAATTATGTTTGGTTAATATTTAAATGGAAAATTGTTTGTGGATTTCCTAGCAGATTCTAACGAACTTCTATTGTGGAAATTAATTTAATGTTAATGCTTCGCATTTGAATTGGAAAAACTGTCTGGATATCTTTTTAGTTTCAAACGTAGTTTTGATTTAAACGATCAATGAAGAATATGCAGGAAAAATGATATTGCATCTTAATTCTTTTAGGAGTCAATATTATTTCTGAAATTCCAGAGCAACAATATTTTATAATTAAACGTGTTTTGTTTTTGGATCCGTAAATGTTAGAGAAAACACCGTGAAAATGAACTTTTTACTTATCAGTTAGAATTTAATATGAATGTCAAATTTAATTAAATTAAACCCTAAGTTGGGAATCACCTAATAACTTTCAACGTGAATAAAACAATATGAAAATTAAAATTAAGTTACTTCTATATCTTATTAATATATCAGTTATTTCTGTGTCTGATTAAAAAAGCAGTCTTTTGTATGCATAAGTATCTTTTTATGGTATTATTTCTAGAAAATTCATATACTGCATGGAAAAAATATTGAATCACTATATGATGTATCGGAAAATACAAATAATTTTATTATTCATATAATTATGAATTTCCTTCATTTTTAATATTTCTATATGCAATTTACCAAAAAATTGCTTTGGAAATATATATACTGATTAAAGATTTCAAGCTGTTTGAGAATATATGTATATATATAAAGGAGTTACCGGAATTAGTCAATTAACGATAATTAATATTTGCGAAATGGGAAAATATAAATTAATAACTTATTAATCACTAATATTTCCTAAGATTTAATTAATTATTGAAATTAAATTCACTATTTTACATTTAAGGTATCAAATAATTATAATATTCAGAACCGAATTCCGAAAACTGCAAAGATATATGTGCATAAGTGTTCTGTAACTTTTCTCAACCATCATGCAAATATAAGCCAGTTTCTCTTTACAGGAAAGCCCGCAAATGAGTTACCGAAATTAATTAATTACCGGGAATCAATATTTTCACAATGGAAAAGATCTAAAGTTTAATAACCTATTTAATCACTAATTATTCTTAGATTTCATTAGTTACTGAAATTAGATCCACTATTTTACATTTAAGGAATCAAATAATTATAACCAAATTCCGAAAATTATGAAAAGTCTTAAAATACGTGTGAAGAAACATGATATATTTTATACAATGTTTGGTTATTTTAAACTTCTGTAATTATCTAATTATGAATGTATAGAGTTCCTCACTTCTATTCTATTAAACCAAGTGTCGAGAACCCAGTGGACTGCTAAGCGAATAATTGCTTAGTTCAAAGGACAGAGAGAGTTAACTCAAGAAGGGTTAGTTATCCTTTATTAACTCAAAATAAGGTTAGCAGTCTGCTCCTTTCTTGGGCATACAGCAAAGCCCTGGATTTCAACTCAAAAGTAAGAAATAAGAACTAACTAATGATTAAGTAAGAGATTTATCCGAAGCTAACACATTTCTAAAGTAGTTGGCCCGTAATATTAAATTTGCCAGCGAACTATCAAAAGGCCGAGCTTAATAACAGCTTAGGAGACACATAACCCAAAGGTAAACGCGCGCTACTCAGGAATCCTCTTTGTCGAAGTCAGCTGAATGGTGACTTAAATACTATTCTCCTCCTCATTTGCATTCAACACAATTCTAAAACCTCATTCTGGTAGAGAGTTATAAGTTGAAACTAGATAAGATAGGAAAGATGCATTAAATTAAAATAACTGTTATAAAATTAAAATATTCCCTACAAATGAAAATTTGACGACTCATTTTTGAAATACAAAACTATTTTAAATATTTTCCATCCATGCTAAGCTCAGTTTGTTGTAAAATATTAAATAAACCGGATGCTTAATTTTCAGTAGTTTAAAGATAACATAAATCGTACTAATCAGCAATATAATACGCTTGTGTCAGCTATTTAGTAATAATGTATTTTACATTTGATTTGCTTCCTTTTGTTCAAAACTCCATTTACAACAGCTATTTTCTAAATATTTATCCCTTTCGCAAAACTTCGTCTCAAATTTCGAATTACTCATTAAAAGAAAATTATTAAGATTAATCATAAACAAAGTCGAAACAATTACCGATACTTATAGTATTAAAATCGATCTTGATATAGTAGTAAGTAACGAATCGATAGTAAGTCGATTTTTCTCGAATTCAGAACTTTTCTTTTAATCTCTTCTATGAAAATATATTGCACTATTTAGCTAACATTCAGACTAATTTAATATTTTGACTCACTCTTTTAGTATATGCTAAGAATATGTCCTTTTTAATTATTATTAAAAGTTCAATATTTTATTGAATATAATTGCATTAATAATATAGCAAAGAAATTGCTTCATAATTATTTATTATGATAATATATTTCCATACATATTAAAAATTTATCTAATTTTTAAACAATTCTGAAGTTCTTCAATGAAATTTTTTCTGAATTTAAGAAAAGTTTGTAGCGCTATAATTTTAGTAGTATAAATATTTATATTTAGGGCAGAGTAGGAAAGCATTTCTACTTGGAAATGTTGAGAACGTTTTCTCTTTTTCTTATAATAGTACATTTCATGTCATATTTCGATTGTATTTAAAGCATTTATAATAAAATGACAGTTTAAAATTAATTCCATTTGTGAAATTTTATTTTAATTGTAATTAATTCTACTCCTTTTCCTTTACAGCATCTGCAGCCGCTACTGGTAAGTGTCAAAATATTTTACTTTTCGATTCAAAATTTTTAATATTTTAGATAAAAAATGTATTGGAGCTGTTGAATAAGCTTGCGAGTTGCGTGCAGTTATTTGACCATCGAAATTAAAACTCGGGGAAATAAGTATGATACTGGTTAAAAATTCTATGTTTCTTTTTAAGAATAGTAAAGGTTTATCTCACTTTATTTTTTACATATTTATATAGCCTCAAAGAATTAAGCTTTAAATAGATATTAAAGTGCTTTACATTGATTTTAGCTTCCAGTTTCAATATAAGCTTCTCCTTTAAGCAGGCAGGGATATGCTAGCTTTTCTTTTCATTTCATGGTCTCTACCAATTGAATATATGGTTCCATAGCCCTCGCATGGTTATTAAGTGGGGTCAGGCTTTCCGCAGAGAGCACTCTATGTAGAATTTCTAAGATTGAGATCTATCGCACTAAATTATATCTCTGCTAAACTATTTTCGTTAAGCTCTTATTAATAAGCAATCAACTGAATTATCAAGACTTTTAATTGATTTACCAAATTTCACACAGTTCTCATGAATGATACTACATCATGAATGATACTATAATGACTACGTTGTAATTCTTATCGGATAATTTAAATAATGCTTAATACTTTTGAATGTAAGCTGTAGAAGACTAGTTATACATTCTGGTTTCTTTATCATGTTTTCGGCTCAGAACGATAACGTAAAACAGGAATTTTTAAAATTATTATAATTCGTCTTCTAAACCATACCTGAGTACATAAAATCCCCTTATGTTTTCTTTTATTTTTTCCTTATCATTGAGGCTTCACAAATCGTGAGGGAAAAATAAAATTCTAGATTACTGAAGTTTTAGCTGTCTCAGCAAACCAATCATTGAGTCCAAGCATAAAATGGCAACGAATTATTCGTGTTTTAGTGTTAACATCACAGTGTGTTTGTAAGTGTTAGGCATATCACCAAAACTTGTTCTATGAACTGAAGTGAACTTTTGAAAAATAAATTTTGATTTATATTGGAACATATAAAAATCATAAATAACTTCAAAAAACATTTCAGCTTCTCCATATCTCACTTTATTATATTTTCTATACAATCAATGTAGGCAAAGTGGAACTGATGTGGTTATGTATTCAAACTTTAAAGCAGCCTGCACTAAATTATAGTTTAAATTTTTAAACAACGTTTATTAATTTGTCTCTTTATCTCATTTATAAAAATATGCTATCATGTTTAAATTACATAACATACGTAAAAGCTAGTAACTTTATATTGATCTCTTTTATATTGTATTCTCCATAGGTTCAGTTTCAAAAATATTTTATCTGTTAATGATTTTAATCTATAATTTAATGATGATTTTTAATGGATTTAATCCATTCAAAATTTTAGGTTTTGAATACTCTGTATTAAACCTAAATGCTTAATTAAATTTATTATAACCCCTTTAAATATGTTTGAGAGGGACAGGCAGATTACGAGCTTTTAATACATTTTAATATGTATATTTTGAATGAATTTTATTTCCCATACAATCATAATTTAATTGAAAAAATATTTATTAGACAGAGATAAAATACATCGGCACAATTATACAAACTTGCGTTATTTCAGGTTACATCGAAGGCCGCGAATATGTATATAGATACGAAGGTCAGATTTATACTGGATACCCACGGATAAAGCCTCAGTACAGCGGTTACGCTTTCCGGGCTAATGTGATCGTTCAACCCCATGGCGAGTATGCTATCCTCAAAGTAAGTTTCCCTTTTAGTATGTTTAGATGAATTTAAACATTAGATAACACAATTTTTCGTGTGTAATTCGAGAAGCGTAATAATGAAATTAATAAACGCATATTTTTTTTTATTAACGATGCTTGTATAAACCCATCAATGCATTGTACTTAAGTATTTCACAAATGTCTTTAAAATATTGTAATAATAAACAAAATGTTCAAGGTTACGTGTGCATTTAATTTAACAAAAGGTTATTAATTTTAATTTATAACGTACCTTTAAAGGAAAGTTATTTTATAATATTTCGATTATTATTTCTGAAAACTTTGGTGTGTATTCTCATTGGAACATTTTATGTATAACTTATTAAATTAAATAACAGTTAGCCAAGAACATGTGAATAATAAATATGCAAACTTCCAGTTTTCTAAAGATATCACCTTCACTCTACTCTTAGTTTTATTGCTATGTTTAGTTCTGTCTGTCAAGTTATAACAACAGACAATTAAAATAAAAAATATATCAAACGAATCTTTTCCAGAAAAGAGCATTAAATGAAATATTAGATACGTATTACCTTTAAACATTAGATAAACATTACCGTTCTAATCGCTACACAAAATATAACGTAATAAAATACCAACTGTTGGTAATGTGTTTATTTTTTTATACTGCTCAATTTTCATGACTAAAAACATAAACGTTTGCAGGCATTAATTCTCAATTAACGTTTATGGCTAATATTTCGGTACATAAAGTGTGTCTTCCAATATGAAAGATTTCTTCTAAAACACCAATTTTCTCTCATCATTAATTCTTTAATTAATGCTTGCAATAAACATTTAATTGAAAATACCTAACTTCATTAGCAAGGAAAATTTAGATTACTTCGCTTAGCTTTTCTCAGTTTGTTGTTGATTAGAAAATTATCAGAAGTTTAATAAAGTCTTTCATAACTGCTGATTCCTTCGAAGAATTTTAATGGAAAATTCACTGCATAAAAGAAATCTTACAATTTTTTCTAACTTACCAGCACCTGTTAGAAATCCCATTACAAAAAATCTATATTTGTTTCGAATTATAAGGAAATTTTTTTATAGAATATCGGAATATTTTCAGTGTGTTTCGATCCTGTGAGTAATACGTACATGTGTATACTAGAATAAACACGAATTATTTCTTATATCCGAACAACGTTTAATGTAACGAAGTATCGTTGTCATTAGACTCAGATCATAAAAATAGTATTTAATAAGTATTTAATTTAATGAAATGTAATTGTAAAGATTTCTGAAGTGTAAAGGTTCCAATTTAGATAAATTCTTAAAGATCTTCCTTTAACTATAAAAGATTATTTAACGACTGTCTCATTTTCCTATTTATTGACAACAAGCAACAAATAAAAGAGCTAGTAAATATTCTTATGGAAGTATTGTTACATTGTATAGTTTATAAAATTAAATATTTTTAATTAAAGTTGCATTTTTCAGAATTATATACCATTAATAATTAACTGAATCATGTTTATTAACGAAATTTTGTAGAAAAGCTTAGAGAAGATGGACACATATGAGCATTATTGCTATTATTTCAGGGTGCTATTAGTCTATTATTGCTATTAGTCTTAAATTGAAAGTCTTTCATTGCAGTTTTTTAAATCAAAATTGGAATAATTCGAAATAGTACTAAAATAAAAGCAACTGAGACTTGAGAATAATAAAAGATAGTCATAACAGATAAAAAGATGAAATTAAATTACAGGATTTCTAACCACTACAAGTATACAAGTATTAAAAAGACATCTGCGAACAAAATTATTTTTCTCAAGCGCTGAAACCAGCCTTAAACGAAAGTTCTTTGTATTCGCACAAAATTAGAAAAACGAATTATCTTATAACTCATATCTGACATCTGTTTTCAGTTACCAAAACTCTCAATAAATCAATATAATAATTTGTTTGTAAAGGTCTCACTTTTTTTGGTAACGTAAACTAGTGAGCTCTAGAAAGACTATGGAGGAAAATCGTCTTGTCTTAAATTGTAAACAGACAAAGTCAGAGGAAGGTCGTAAATGGCCCTTTTATTTTAACACAAAGAAATAAAAATGACCCGAATTGGGTTTACACAAGCCAACACTTCTGGCTTGAGTCAAATGCGTAATGTTAAACGAATTCAAATGTACTAGATTAGCCTAACGGCTCACAGGACGATTTAAACGCGCAGGAAAGGCTCTGGTTTGTAGAAAACTGGCGAGAAAAGCCGAATGGCTAGAAGCACTCCACGCCACAGAATCAAATTGTTAATATTCACGCTAAAACGTGGCCTGGAGTAGTCAGAGCACGCTCTAAAAATAACTTGCGTAATCTTCTCTTAAATAGCGCTTCTCATCCGAATAAACGCTCGCTGTATTTATAGTCTGGCATAAAAAGCAGATGTGAAAAGAGAGTAATAGAAAAATAATTTAATTTAAAACTAACTATTAACTAACTAAATAAATAGATAAATCCTCAATAGTAATATCTTAATAATAATAGATTATCTGTATCCATAAAAGTGTAGTATTTACGTTAAAAAATGTTTCCCTGCTGTTCAATTATAATGTTTTTATTTTCTTCTTATCATGCATAGGTGGATGATGCTCAAAAGGCTCAGTTCAATGGTGAATTTGAAGACGTCGCTGACTATGATCACCAGTACACAGGACTTCCGCCTCATGCGGAGTTCCTCACTAGGCCTTTCAAGGTGTACAGGAAACATGGAATTGTAAGTGTCAAATCAAATATGTAAAATTTTATCTTCTTCACTAAAAAACTTAGTATAGATATATATATATAATTACAAATTTCAATTACCTTAAATACTTTCAAATTAGGTTTACTTTACAAAATTATCTTTATGTGCATGTGTGGGTTTTTGTATATATAGATATACACTCGTACTGAACTTTCGCTAAGACGAACACACACAGTTCCAGATTTTGGTCCTGTGATGAGCTCATATAAATATCAATGTTAGTTTATGGCATTAAAGATATTGGTCATTTTGAGAGATGGTCATCTACGGGGAGTAATGGCTACGGTAGTGTATATATGCAGTGAACCCTGTTGTTGATGTAGATGTAGATGTATAATATCTTCTAGTTTAACATTTGCTTTTATCTATTTATTTATTTATGCTTTCGCGACAAAGTGTTTATGCCCATCAGGAAAAAGGTAGATATTAAAAGATAGCAGCAAGCTTACTGTTATAAGTCACGTAAAAAGTGGCAATGCATATCCTGTTGCTATGAGGTGTAGTAGTCATTTATAACTGCACAATAATTCAATTCAAAGCACTTATTAATAGTCGTCATTCAATATTGAATCGATATCGAAATCTCTCGAAATTTATTGGAAATAGTGAAGAAGCATATCGAATCAAAGCTATTTTCTAACTCAGCACAATAACTTGTGCCGATTGGCGCAAATTGAATAAGCTGCAATCCAACGACCGGCCAATGTACTTGTAGCACTTGTAGATCCAACCTGGGCTCAGTTCCAAGCGAACGGGCTAGCTGCATGGCCGTTCTTTTTCGTGGTTTTCCCCATGTGTAAGGTTTATACGAGTAGGTTTCGTTAGAAAGTCCTCCGCGAAAGCATTCCTCGCTTTATTCAGATAACCGAAGTGTGCTTTGCACTAATAAAATAAATAATAATAGCTGCAACCGAAAAAGCTGAATTTCAGGTACGCGAAATTAAAAATTATATTGTATAAAATGCATGAATAATTGATACATATGTTCAAAACGCCCATTTTTACAAAGCCACATTTTTAATTGCATTCCTAATTTCCTTATATTCAGTACTCATATTGGCTAAGTATTCACATTCCAACAAATCAGAGAAACACAGTACACATACATGAATATATCATATAAAAACTGACTGATCTTAATTTAATGATAAAAGAATTTTTAACAATTGCGATACTAGGTGGCAAGGTTTAAGTAAAGTTCTAATAATGTTTTGTTAGTTCAGATATGTTACAAGTTTAAGTATTTTTGATGAAAATATAAACAGATTTTTAAAAATTCAAATGCAAAATATTAATAAAATATAGTATATTTTGAAGCGAATTCGAGAGCAAAAATATATTACGATTAATAAATGATATTATAATTCAGATTATAAAAAATGATATTTCATTTTCCAATAGATTTTTAATAAATTTCGAAGAGATTTATGGTTTAGTAAGACTTTCAAGTAAAATTATAACTTCGGTGGTGTGAATAACCTTACCACCTAACTAACGGCTTCCACAGAGGTTATTTAACAACTTAACTAGTTAACACAGCTGATGCAATTTAACTATTATCGCAATATACAAATTCAAGTATATGCTTAATGAAACTTAATCAGCCTCCAGGTGGGTTTTACAAAACTTAAAAGAATAACTTAAACTAAAATACGTTTTCTCATACAAAGATGTGAAAAATGTAGTGGACTTCCTTAGCCTAAATCTTAAACCTATAAGGGGACGGTGGACTTTAAAACAGCTAAAAATCAATCAAATTTTTTTTATTCTCGTAATATTCTAAATACGTAACTACATCATATTCAAAAAACCTAGTTCAATTATTCTAATTTTTTTAAAGAAGTTAGAAGCATTTAAAATGTGTATACAGCGTAAACTTTGCTCTTTAAATTTTGGAGAAAATGTAAAAACAATGTATTTCAACAGTTATTTACTGATGTTATAATTTATATATTTGACCAAAAGAAGTGTTTATTTCTTAAAAACAGGCTAGAAATGTCAGAATTGACAACTATTAAAGAATATAACTTTGGTTATGTAAATCTATAGGCGTAGAACAGGAGGAAGCCAACTCGTTTTCCCTACTCGTTGCAAAAAAACGTGATCACGTCGCTTGAACCAAAGCAAAAAGAGAAGTTTACCTACTTGGAATTAACCAAAAGTTGTAAAAAATATTGTAAAGCATAAAAAATAATGTAAATGTAACAAATGAAGGTAAAATATATGATGAGGGTGAATTTTAAACGTTTCATTGGATATAATGGATAAATTGTTTCTACCTCTAACTTCGAATCACATACCAATTTGCGATATGTTTATTTTTCTCAAATTTAATATTATGATATTAAAATAGTTAAATGATACGGAAATTTTTTTCCACTGTCTATTATTCGTATTTAAAGTTAATTTTTCTGTTCCTCATGACCCTGTATTAAAGGTAAGTTTGAAGTAAAAAAACTTTAAATTCGGTTTTCTCAAAACAACTTTTTCGCAGTTCTTATGTCTTGAAATGCTCCATGATCTCATTCTTATTTTAAAATGAATGATGTTTGGAAGAAACTATCTTGTTATACATTACAGTAGATTTGTATATGCATTTTTGGATATGAGGTTATTAAGAAGTTTAAACTTGTGATAATGTTTAGAAGAAAAGGAATTTTTTCCGAAAACTGGGTTTAAGTTCACAAAAATCCTTTTTAAAAATTTCTGATTCGTCACATTCAATAACGGAGGCACAAAAACTTTTATCAAGTCTTTATAACTAACTTAAAGGAAAAATTAAGAAACAATATTGAAAATTAGCGCGCAAGGAGCATTTCAAATCTTTAATTAAAATAATTAATTATTTGTTTTAAAATTTTTTAATTTAAAAGAAATTGAAATTTTGAACATATAATTTATAAACTGATGTCATATGTGTATGTATAAAGTTTCTAGTTGAAAACATAAAAACTTAAAAACTAATTTTTAAAGTCCACCGTCCCCTTGTACTTACTTGATTCGGATCCGGTGAAAGTAAATTCTTAAATACCTCACCACGCACAGCCTATCGGTAGCTTCTTAAAAACGAACGGGGGAAAACGAATTTTAATAAAATAGCAAATAATACGATGCAAGCTTCAATAGGCTCGGGATTAAAATTAACATCCCAATTTTAAATTATGCTGCTTTTTATTCAGTTTACATAACCTTTCTAATCTGAATGAGGTTTGCATAACTTTACATAAATTTTCGAATCTGAATAAACTAATTTTCTAATCTGAATTTTCAATCTTTCTAATCTGAACTCTTTCTAATCTGATGAATTCCTAATCTTTTCTAATCTGATGAATTTCTAATCTTTTCTAATCTAATATGACGAAAATACGATTGAATTAAAAATAACTAGTAGTAAAGCTTAGGAATTATTTTCACAAAAATAAAATGAAACTCTTTAAAGACGTTTCCTGTAGTTCCGAAATAGTGATCTGATGGGCAAATAAGCATCTCAAAGAGGTGATGTTTCATACCGATGTTTATTCATGCTCGTTTATGAAAAATTAGCTATTCTTAGAGGTGGTCAGCTTAGGGATGTAGTTCTCAAAATAGTACTAGTTACATTTTACCACTTATTTATTTAATCATTTTTTCAAATTATAAATTTCATTATTAAGGAATTTTTTTAATATATTAATTTTATAATACAATTATTTAAGATAATGTAAATAAGTTTTTTTATTGTTAATGACAGAAACTTAGAATTAATATTATAGTCTTTCTATTTTCTTAAAAATGGAACTCGTTAGTTATGTTAAACATTACCACAAGTTAAAATTAATTCAAAAATGTTAAAAAAAGAATAATTTGCTACGTTAGAAGAGAGAAATACTTAATACTTTTTAAATGAATTAATAATTTGCCGATGAGTAGCAAGTATTCCTAAATCAGACGACGTTACTCTATGAAGAAACGAAATAAACTTTTTTTTTCTAGAAGTGTACAATATATATGCGTATATACTCCTTTGTTCACGGTTTAAAGTTCTGTTTCCAGTACCTAAAACAGAACTATACATTCATATTGCACTTCAGTAGATGAGATTTATTATCAAAGAAAATCTGATAATGTTTATCTACAAAATAAAGAGTATAGAAATTTATAACTTTGTTTGAAAAGTTTAATATTTGAAGTGTCAAAGCCTAATTAAAAAAAAAATCTTCTTCCACCGTAGGTTACTAATTTCGAAGTATCAAGAGATGAACCCGCCTTTTCTGTCAACTTGAAAAGAGGTCTCGCCGCACTCTTCAACCTCAACTTCGACCATGCTGAATCCGAACCATCCACAGAGGATAATGATATTCAGAAACCAGATCCGGACGCACATTACTACAAGGTTTATGAGGTAAGATGCAATTCTAAACAATTTCTCCAAGGACATATTTCTATAGATATAACTTAAAATATTAACTTTTCTAATAAGATCCCATTACGGATCGAAGAATTCGCTGTTGTACTTACCCGCCAGCAGCTGATCGGCAAAATTTCCAAACACTGGTAGTTTGACTTCGTTCCGATTCCAGGCGAACTGGCTAGCTACATGGGCATTTTTGAAGTCCGTTTTCCTTGAACCGTCTTTCACGAAGGCATCTTTTGCAGGTTAATGGGCTGGCTGCATGCACACTTCCGCAGGTTTCCCTATATGTAACATGATATGATCCAACTTCCCTTAGAAAGTCCTCCATGAAACCATCTCTTGCCTTAGGCAGATAGCCCTATTTTGCTTTGCAATAATCAAATAAACCAAAATAAACCACTCTTCTCCTTACACTCAAAATACACTTTGAAAGCAATGCTTATAACTATGAGCATAATAAAATTTAAGTAATTTTGTATTATGAAATGCTATTTTACATACTTATTTGACTAATTTTATTTATTTATTTATTTTTAGAATGGCGTTCTGGGCGAATGCGAGACAGCATACGTGATTGAGCACCACCCCTACTACCGAACTCCACACAACAACATCGTTCTAAATGTCACCAAAGTTCGAAACTACCACAAATGCAACTCAAGACCAAACCAAGTTTACTCAGTCTTCCATGGACATGAATGCGGGCATGCTGAACATGAGAAATCGGTACGTTGATACTACATATTCTATCGCTCTTGTGTTTGACAACAATGAAGCAAATGTTCCTAAGCTTTATGCTATAATTATACTAATAATAACAATAAATGCATGAACATATATGGTGTTTATAAAATTCTAGACACTGAAATTTAGAGGCAAAAAGCACGAAACCTTTACTGTTCTGTTGATGGAATTCGAGCCACAACGGACTTTCCATTTTTTGGCCGTAAGTCGTTAACAATTTACACCACAAAATCACGCATGAGGAAATGCGATAATTCCTTATATTATTCCACTTCACCTGAACCTCTCAAAGGACGACTAGGGCGATGCACAAAATCCAAACGGCTAATTCTAGGTGGTGAAATCTTTATCGTCTCCTAAATTTTAATTTGAAAACAGGTTACAGAAACAAATTACGGAAACAGAGATTGTTACGTTTTCAGAGTAGGAATCTTAAAAAAAAAAAAACAACAATACCAAGCCGGGATTTGAAGGACGAAACTTCTAATTACTAGCTGAATATGCTAATTACTTATACAATGGAAGCCCGCACGAGGGGTGGATGAAAAAATTCCTTAGAGAATCAACTGGTGTTTAAACTTCAAATATGCTTTATTAGAGCAATGATAGAAAATAATTTTGTGGAATTAAAAAAAAAAACTAAACTTGAAGTGTATAAAAATTAAGACTTAATGAAAGGATGTAAAGTATGCTTTAAAAGTATACTTGTCTTAAATGGAAATTTCTACATCTAGAGAAAAATAAATGATAATTAACCTATAAGGCATTTTTCCCACTTTCCTAGCGTGCCTTCGTGGTGTAGTGATTCTCCACGCTGGGCCGGTATTCCAGAGGTCCATGGTTCGATTCCCGGGGAAGGCGGTTGCTATTTTTCATCTTGCCCGCTAACAAAAATATATACCTTATGTCTCTACAAACATAAAACAGGGAGAAAATCCACACAAAGGCATCCTCCGGACAGATAGCCCTTGAGTGCTTTGTCTTAATTAAGTAAACCAAACCATTAGACAGCTAAACTTACACAGTATTTTCGGAGTGGACTACTATATAAACATTCCGTTAATTAATAAGCAGTAAATATTTTCAACTTTGGGTTTTTAATGAAAATGTAATGAGCCTCCTAGCTGGTATAGTGTTAGTGTCTGCCGTAGTGATCTGCTCGGTTCGAATCCCGGAAAAGGCATGGTTGTAACTGTCCGTCCCTTCATAGCAGGCAATGCTGGCCACCTTTTAGGGGCTTCCGTAATCAAAATGGCCAATACTTTCGACCCTTGTAGTGGCGCAAGGCTAATGGTTATTAAATAAAGCTCCTGGCCATTTAAAAAAAGGGGGAATCTAATGCTAATACCTATAATTCTTATTCTATATTATGCACAGCAAATTTTACTATAAATTTTAATATGGATTATTTTGGAAGTGTTTTAACAATGGCGTATAGCAAGAGAATTTGAAAACATATTCTAAAAAATGAAAGAACCAAATAAAAAAATGTGCATAATTCATTCTATTAAAAATTAATATATTTAGTTAAAAGGACACACGCATATATAAATTGAAATAAACGACTTTTGCATTCATGATTGATAAATTCTTATGCCATTTCATCATCTTTAATTCAATATATTGGAACAAATTACTTTATTGTTAGGAATGATCACATTTTGCAGCAATGACCAAAATTAGAATGTTGAATTACATCCATAAAATATTAAAATATAGTGAGATAAGAAACATCCCTGTGCCTATGATGAATAATTTTAATGGATATTTTTTATTTCAGCACACTCTTCATGGTAACGCTCATTATCACTACGATATTCGTGGCTACCGTCACCATTACGTTATTGAGAAGGTTCGAACTGAAGGAGAAGCTGCTTACACTCCGTATCCTCTTGAGGGACAGACTGTTGCCACTTTCATCAAGTGAGTATTTCGGTTTTATCTAGGGATATTAAAGAACAATAGTATTGCTTTCAAGTCAAAATGTACTTGAATGTTGCACATAATGCACAATATTCAGTATTAGCACAATATTAGTACAACGTTAGTTGTTCTTAATGAACAATATTTGCTTATATTCTTTCCCAGATAAAAAGGAAACTCAAATTTTAGAAAATTTATGATTTTGTTTTCAGCCGAACTTTGGAACTCGTCGCCGAACGTGAGGTGACAAATCCTCTTGAATTTAGTGATGATGTTGTAAGGTACGACTCTCTTGTCTACGACTTCGACTTCCAACGAGATTTTTCAGACCCTGTAGATCTCAAGAAGCCTCACTACATCTACCATATTACTGGAAGGAAGGTGCCTATTAGCGAGGTAATTTTCATGTACTTTCTATCCACTAGTAAAAGTAATTTACGTTTAATAGTTTTCATTATTATTAAAGTGAAAGAAGTAAATAAATTCAATATATTTAAACTGAAAGCTGCGGAACTCTGGGAAGAACTACAGAAATAACAGTTTAAAAAAATTAATGATTATTCTCACTCCTGTAATTAATTAAGCTTGATATATAATGAAGTTCATGAAATTTTTACAAACTTTGCAACCTTTTTCCTAAATGTTGCTAAAAAGTTATAGCATTTACAGAAATTAAAACGAATTCGTGGAAATAAGTATATATGTAAACTACACTCACTACCTTAGAGAGTTATATATCTAATCAAATTCGTTAACGAAATCTAATCAACGAAACCTCATTCAACGAAAATAATAGTCTCATTCAACCAAATAATTCAACTAACTCTAATCAAATTCTTTAAACTTATTATGATGTTGACGAAATGAGTCATAATATTTTATTCATTTTGAACGAAGTTTAAATCTTGCAGAGGAGTTAAAAACCCCCAAAAGTTTGAGGAAAAGCTATTTAAAATTTAAATAAATATGATAAATAATTTTAATTCGACGATGAATGTAAATAATTTAGGAAAATAATTTTTTGTTTTGTAGATCCGTAATCAAGTGGAGGAGTTGGTTCAAGTGTACAATGATGAAACATATCAAGAGAAAATTAAAGAGAAGAATTTCCCTGCTAAATTCGTTGAACTTCTCAGGTCTGTTGCTACTCTTGGTTATGATGAAATAGACGACCTCTACAAGGAATACGCTGATATTCCCAAGAATGGTGCTACTCCAGAACAGAAAAGATATAGGTGAGTTTTGGGAAATTTCCTTTCTGTCTAGATTATTTAAAATATTCAAGTTAGTGAGTTATGATTTATAACTTAGTTCTGATCAAATCAGTGAGTTATATTACTAATTTTTAAGTTAGTGAGCTAGATTAATTGAAGATATCCTTCAAAGTACTGAGTTAATAAGCATATTGATAAGGAAATAAAAAGCAATATGTAAATCAAAGAGTAAATAAAATTAGAACGTTATTTAATTGTGTAAAATAAATCAATGTGCATATTATAAGTATTAACATTCTCTAAAAGAATTTCGTTAGTGTTAGTCGAACTTGTTATCGATTTTTCTGAAGCTGTGGTCATCAGCTTTCCATAGAAGCATCAGCTTTCCAAGAACCGTCGTGCAGCCTTGCATAAAGCTGTAGGAATTTCTTACCTTCTTTTCAAAGATATTAGATAAGGGTCAGTTCCATCTAGGTTTGCGAAAGCGATCAGATATTATTAAAAGTCGTTATACTGTATAGTCCTTGAAATAATTCAAATACTACTGCACAAATTCGAAATTTCTGATAGTTAAACATCATCGGTTACAGTTCAAGCGAATAGATCATTCTTCATAAGAAAATTTTGATTTTACGTTATAGGCTTAGAATTAGTTATTACAGTTTCGATTGCTTATACACTTTACAATATTCGCTGTATTTTTGTTAAGTTTTAACACTTGCAACATTGTATTTTCCTGGGATTTTCTGAAGACTCTGACTCTTCAGTTCTAAAGATAACAGGATTCGTCTCTGATTAGAGATAAAATGGATTCAAATTTTACGCTAAAAAAATGACAAAATAGCAGTATCCTCTCATGGAACTTAGTTAATTTTAAAACACGTTTAATGCCTTCTGTATTAAGAGTAATACACCATAAAGTATCACCACGTTATATTTACTATTTACACAACAAAATTATATTATAGATTTGGAATTATTAACTGCGAGAAAATTCTGTCCTGAGTCATTTAGCACTAATGTAAAATGAATTCTTAATTACTTCAATTTTTATCATGCAATCCCAACTCTAGAGTAAATCAGCGACTAGAAATCTTACTGCATAATAGCAGTGTTCTTTTAGGTTAAATTTTCGTGACAGACATAGTTTCGTATTTTGCCATTCGACTTCAGAGGTTGTTTATAATATCTATGTCTTTAAGTCGGCTTAGATTAAAAAAATATAATAAGTGTCACATTCAAGGAATATTTTCCTTAATGGATCTAAATTTTAAAAGTATAAAGAATGTTATATTTTGAACGTAATTTAAAAAATAGAATGAATATTATTCCAGAAACCTTTTCGTCGATACTCTAGTCAACCTGGGAACTAATCCAGCCGTTCTTTATGGAAAAGATTTGGTGGAAAGCAAACGTTTCAGACCTCAGGAATCTCTGTATTACCTCCAGCAGCTTCCCTTCCACGTCAAGGAAGTGAGCGAAGTTTTGCTCGACAAAGTTCAGGTAAGATATTTAAAATTAATTAATTTTTAACTATTTTCTTAAGTACTATAATTAGTGAAGTTAACAAGATACAAGACTAAAGCTTGTTTAAATTATTTTCCTAACTTATAAATATTTATACTCAAGAAATCACAAATAAAATATATTTGGTCATACTTTCTATAACTTAAATTTCTTCAATATTATTCATATTAATTAGTATTACTTCTGGCTAATAACTCACTTATCAGACAGCTGTACAAATCCCTTGTTAAGTGATCATTACTTATAATTTTATTTAATAACAGAGTAACATCTCCTTTGAGACTTCCAATTAAATTTTTAGACATTCCGATTAAATTTTTTTTAGACAGGGGAGAGGGATAACATTAGTTTTTTTCAAAGTTTTTACTGAAATGAGAACTACTTTTTTTTACGTTACACGGATTAAATCGTTTTTCAGTAGTAGTCTTATTCTTTAGAACAGACAATACACATAATAAATAATAAATGTAATAAAATGCTGTTTTGAATATTACTTTAAAGAAGACTATCTAATAAAAATTGAAGAAAGGATCTATTTTATTTGAATAATGTTTTCATACATTATAAAAGCACTAACATACTTTGGTTATAACAGCAAGTCTTAGCATTAAGACCTCACTTTCTATAACCGACTAGATAAATATTTGTAACTCGCGAACGACACTAAAGCTAAATTACAATATAAAGCTCCAATCACGCTATCATGTACTAGAATTCTATTTGCAATTACTATTCATGCAAGTTATTTCTAAGGAACTTGAGGACATAATATATTATTATTCTCTATTTCTGAAATATAACCTCGAATTTCTCTTACAGGAACTCTGCGAAAATGAAAATGTCAAGAAGCACTTCCCTCTTCACGCGGCTTGCGTATTCTCACTGTCTAATATCGTATTCGATCACTGTGTCGCTCACAAGCACCCAGAAGGTCATATGCCAAAGGACAAGACAGATTGCCCTCATGAAGCAGCTGTCAAATATTTCCATGTAAGTATCAAGAATGGAGATCACTAATTCGATATTTAAGAAATAACATTTTAAAATTATTTTTATACGAAGAATAATAATTCTTAAATACTTTAGGCTATACATCTGATTTTGCAGAGATAGTTTTAGAAGGAACAGAATTAAATACTTAGTATTAGAAAATGTAAAATGATTGTTTCCTTTTAATTTAATTCATTATTTATTAAAATATTATTTAGTAGCAAAGCACCGAATTATTAACAGTTACTTAATTCTTCTAACTTGCACAATTTCGTAAGGTACCATTAATAGCAAAACATAAAGTGTGACATCGTTTTGCTATATAATTAATTACATTTGTCAGTTACTTCAATTCAGTAAACGCGTATACTGAAAAAGAGTATTATTTCATGAAAAGAAAGCGTAATATTTACGTAAGACGTAAGTGTATTACTTACGTAGAAAGTAAGCGTATAATTAACGCATTATAAATTTAGTTAATAATGGTTCAGTGTAGTAAATTCCAAAACGTTTACTGTACCATATTTAACTACTATAACAGATATGTGAATCAATTTAATAAGTGAAAATTTTTGAATAAAATGCGAAGCTTAGAAATATAGACATAAAGTTTAAATAATGTAGTAATATATTTAGAACAACTCACTCTTTACTGAGCCGTAAAGATGATACGCTCTTTAAAATGTTTTCAGTGTTACCAAAATCGGTGTAAATATGTACTGCTGAAGTACTCATTGTTCTGCGAGACATAATTAATCATTACAAAATTTATACAATTAGTAAAGTAATAATATATAGCTAGCATATGAAATATGATAGAAGGCCAATGAATGGTAATATTTCATATATCCGTAATAAAGCTATTGTGTTGAGCTACTGTGTATACTAACAAGAACCAGAAGACTTATTTAAGATATGAATTTGGTGCTACTGTAATTAAAAAATTATTTGACTTATTTATTTTACTTCTACATAAACTAAGTAAATATATTTCCATACTTCGAATAAGAATGTACGATTATGATTCGAGTAAGAATAAGTATTTTTATAATGAGTATCCGGTGAAATAGAGAATATTTTTAAATAAATTAAAAAGGTTATTTAAATAATTTAATTCAGTTGCAGAACACTTTCAGTATGTCATGGTACGTATGTGGAAATATCTTATATTGGAAACTCTTTTCAGATCTTCTGTATTCATCCTTTATAGTAAACCATCTTATAGTTCGATTGCAAGAATTATATTTAGATGCAATTCCTGTCACTGATATGGAATTTTAAAACCTCGTCAGACACTTATTTTACTTACCAGAAATTACTTTTCCCTGAGCTTCTTGACGAATAATATGAAAAGCTAATAGGAATCTCTTAATAGGAAAATATTATAATCGAATTTGGAGAAAATAATAGTAATCAATTATATTACAGCTCCACCTTATTTGCATTAGTATTTTCAGTATTTTATACAACTCCATTTCATTCAAAACTACTATTGCATAATTTTAAGCAGGAAAAAAAACGTATATTTCAATGTTACTTATAAAATTTTTTATCCAAAACATAAATTAAAAGATAACCAAACATTTAATTTTTTCTGAAATATTGCGTACAATTTTTATGTACCATTTTATGTTAAGAATTTTACTAATTTAAAGATCTTTTTCCAAGAAATAAAATGAAGGATATCAAAAGGTTTTTAATGCAAAAAAATGAATGTATTGACCCTTGCTAAGTAACTGATACCGAATTCCATAACATTATTTCTTTTTAACTTACAGTACATTGCCAGAAACTATGAGCAAGCAGAAGATGAGAAACTGCGAAGTGTTTACGTAAAGGCTGCAGGAAACATTGGAGTAAAAGAGATTGTACCGTACCTCAGACCTTACATCGAAGGCAGCGGACACCGCCATGTTTTCTACAGAGCAAATGCCATCTGGGCTCTCAGAAATGTTGGACACAGATATCCGGAAAAAGTAACCATTCCTTGAAGACATTTCCTCTTATTTAAAAATGTTAAATGTTCTATAAAGTTAATAACTTAATACAATGTAAATCAAGTATCCTTATGTCAGGGATATAATAAATATAATGACCCTAAGATATGCCCATTTACTCTAATGTTTTATAATAATTACATATGAAGTTTTGCATAAATATAACTGACAGAAGATCACGTGTTATAATTATCGTCATTGCCCCCGTCAGGTATTTATCTCTTTTGGAGAATATTCTTTATGGTTGTATCACAAGTCAGGCCATAATGGGACTCTTTCAATAACTGACAAGAGTAGGGATCACTATCACCTGCTGCAGGCCAGTATACCGACCAAGAATCAAAATATCTTCATTGTATTATATGTCACCTTTTTTTGCAACATGTTGACACAACTAGATTTTAAAGTGCCCTGAAAGGATTTAAACTTTTATGTTTCATAAATTTAAGTATTAAAAATTATGAAAACATTTCACAAGCTTGTTAAATATTCATTTCCAAATGCTATTGTACATGAATAGCTTTAGATAGAAAAGTATGGAACGTATTAAAAGCATCTATGGAAAAAGTTTCAAAATTGCTGAAATAGATAAGAAAAAATGGATTAATAACAACCAAAAGCTTTCAAAGATCGTGTATAAGCTTATTTTAGTTATATTTTCAATTGGAATTAAATATGACAGGTCATTATTAAATCAAAATAAAGTAAAGTAATTCTGTAGCTTTTCCAATGGCAGGGGCAAGGAAATCACGGAGAAATGTCAAGAAATAACTCGAAGGAAATTATATGATATGGTCAGCACTGCGCAGAGAAAAACGTTATTCTATGTACGCTATTCTCGTATTGAATAAAAGCCGCCAGACACCTGAAGACTTCATTAAAGATTACTAAAGACGGAGTAATTCATGAAGTCAAAGTCCGCTAGAGTGTGATCAAATGCCAAAACGAATCAGTGCCTTCCTAGATATCAGATCCCTAGATCCTAAGCGAATCAGATAATTCGGTGGCATAGAATAAGGTGAAACAGTCAAAAACTTTAAAAACAAACTGACTTGATTATTTTATTTCTTGAAGTCTGACAAGATGCAATTAAATAATTATGATAATAATCCGTAGCTTCTTTTCAACAGGTTAGAGAACTTTTGGTGCCTCTGCTTTTCAATCAAACCGAGAACTACCAACTGAGACTGGACGCTTTCATTTTGCTGATGCACTTCCGTCCTCAGTTATATGAAGTCGAAGGTCTGGCACGCGCCTTGAAACATGATACCGATGATCAAGTTAGAGCCTACATCTACCATTACTTCAAACACGTGGCCAATTCTACGCATCCTTGCGACAGGAAAGCGTAAGTAGAAATATTCGTTATCAGAAAATACGCAATTTCATATTCCCATGATTTCATACTACCAATTTCATAATACAATTTCGATAGCATAATCGTACAGCCCAAATAAGAAATGAAGTGATATATATTTCAGAACATTTTCTGTATCTAGCAGCTTTATTAAGACTCTGTAAGTTGTTTGCTAAGTTTTACAAAACTTTGTGACTTATTTATCACTGAAAGTGAATTTATAATAGTTAGCAATACTTTTAAGATCTGGCTTCAGCCATTACGTTTCTGATGATAATGCAAGCAGTTGATATGAACTTTTAAGGTATGAACTTTTAAGGCAGAGACATAAAAAGTCACAAACTGAAATTTATGTTCAGCTAACTTCATTTTATAAATGATTAATATAAGTTAAAGAAATGTATAAATCTGGAAGGGTATTAAAGCGCAAATAAAATATAATTCCTACAGAAAAATAATTGTTTGGAAAACTCCGCCTAGACCTTTTTCTTGTCTCAGTTTATTGAAAGTGTAATTCTGTTTATTCTGATACTCACACTTATTCCTCAAACTAAGCCATGATTCGTGGAAAAATTGCCATAACTTAATCATTAATTCAAAATAACAATTCAGTAATATATTTTTCCATTCACTTCATTTAACTGCCAGTTTTCATATTTTGAAGGGAATGGATAATTTATAGGTATTGAAACAGTAGAAAATGTAAATTGAGGAATTTAAATGTGAGAAAATGGCTCATTAAAAGCTTACAACACTGTTGTTAAACACATAGCTAGAAACTTTTAAATTTTTGTAAAATAATTTTATTGCTGTAATAGAAGTTTCGTGAGGCGTAGAACTGCATTCTTGCTTCCAGTAAAACTTTCCTTTCATAATTCAATTTAGCTCGCAATTTATCTCACTATTAAATGCAAATTACGGCATTTTTCTGCATGTAGACAACAAATTATGCAATTCTATGAATAAATTTTTATTGCATATTAAATTAAGATAAATTATTCAAAAATTTTTTAATTCTTTTTTTCAGTTCTAAGGATGCACATTATGCTCTCAGAATTTTGGAAGAAGTCCACCACGAATTCGAACACTATGATTATACCTATTCCTCAGTACACTATGTTGGCGGATATGACCGTAAGTATATATTTTTTATAAAATGCAATCTGCAGTTAAATTCAATCACAGGGTTTTGAGCGTAATTCTAAGAGATAGATTACTTAACATTTTAATAATTTACCTTTTTACTAATTTGAGTGTCCAAATACGCAGTGATTTTGAAATAGATATATTGTCTTCTTGTCTGTTATATACTGTTATATATAGTATACTTAACATGATCAACATACCAATTCCCAGGACAAGACAATAGATCGGAAGTTGATTGACTTTTATAATGTAAAACACTAGTTTCTAAGAAAAATAAAATTCGCTAATTCGACGTACTATTAACTAATGCAAATATTTTACAGTTTTAAATATTAATAATTATAACATGATGTAAGCTTTTGTGTAATATGTGATGCTGAAAATATAATCTTTCAGTTTAGAAGAATATTTTTCGTACACTGTGTCTCAGTGTTAGATATTTGAAGCTGAAATGTAATGTGAAAAAAATATATTTTGGAATTTATTTGCAATGCAAATGTAGTTACAAATATATAACCCCTGTGTTATAATATACAATTGAGAACAGCCGTAGAAAATTTTATTTAAAAATACACTTTTATAGTTTCAACAATTATTCGATAATTATATTGTTTATAGGTAAATTACCCAAGAAAAATTATTAATTGGAAATAGCTATTTAGAGCATTTATGTAATTGCTTGTTAATTTATATTGTCAAAACTTGCTTTACATTCAGTCAGTGTATTATAATTTGTTTTGTTCCATATCTTTGCAGACGATTATGATTTTGGTGGATCTACAGCTTTTGCCTATTTTGCTAGTGACACAGGCTACATACCGAGAGGTGCCTATTTGGGATTAGAAGATTTCCTGGGCGGAAAATCTTTCTATACTGTGGGCCTTGGCTACTCACAATATGGATTGGAAAAATTCTTCGATAAATTGTTTGGACCCGAGGGAACATTTGGTCGAAGATCTGTGTTCGATTTGTTCAAAAAACGCGGAAAGAGAGACGTCAGTGGAGTGGAAAAAGAATTGAACGAAATTAAAGCCAAAGTAAGGCTTCCCTACAGTAATGATTGAAAAATGTGAATTATTTTGTATTGTATCCTTTATGACGATGCATAATTTATTGTGAATTGAGATTCATTTATGTTATCATACTTAAAGAGATTTATTGAGAATTTCTGAAGTATAATTTTTGTTATTTTTTAGTTGAACCTTCCTGTAGCAGAGTATGAAAAAATCATCGGTGAATTCTTCTTCAATTACATGGGCAATCAGGTGTGGTTCTTCCAGTTTGACGACAAAACTTTCGAAGATTTCTTCAAAGAAGGTAAGCGCATCTAAGTCCAATAATAATTTCACTAGATTTAGTGAAATTTTATTTTATTTGCAACGATATAAAATTTGGAATTGAAAAACGAGCCAAGTTAGTGTACACATAATATGAAAATTCCCCTTTAAAGAACGATATTAATTCTATACAGTTTTATTAATATGTCAAGTGAAATGAATGAATAAAAATTTAATTTACTTCGTTGCATCATAGAATTTTAATAATAGTAGTAGATATTTAATTTATTTTATTTGGAGGGTTTCACATTATTTAAATAAAGCAAGTGTTAAAAATAATACTTAAACTATGTATTTTCAAAAGGACTTGTATTTTACATTCATTAATAAATGTTAGCAAAATTTGATGATTAAAAAGCTAAATGTTTAATTTAATTAGAAATAATATATAAATAATATTAATAATAATAGAGCGTATCTAGACTGAATAGCATTTGCGGCTCTAGAAAAGATCGTGGTACAAGATTCGCGTATTCTTGATTTATGACATCATGAGACACTCATAAAAAATCAGTTTTTTGTTCTTAGAAAGTTAATTAGAAAATATGCATCTATATTGCTTTGAAAAATTATTTTTTTTTTATCTACATATTAAAATCTTCCATTATATTTTTTTAGGTCGCTTCTCCATTCCAAACCTCCCTGCATACTACCAAAGGATTCCAGAATTCTATTACCAACGTTTCATGCTCAGTGTAGATAAGTACTACGTCATTCCTAGTGAATCTGGCATCCCAGTCGTATTCGATTATAAGCAGCCAATCTACTACTTCCACAAGAACAAAGAATCCAGTTTCAAAGTCGAACCTGGTTTCTTCGCAGAAGAAAGAGGTGGAAAGTTCCCTGATAATGTCAAATTTGAAATTGATGGACACCTTGTGTACGTATGCTTCGTATTTGTAGAGATTTGATAGAATGCAAACTAAACATGCATGATACATGCATATTATATCCTAATTTATATTTCAATAGATTCATTAAAATGCAAACTAAATATACATTACAAAAGTATATTTAAGCTTAGGAAGAATACGAATATGAACTTTGAACAGCTGAATAACCTAGAAATCAAGTTTTGAATTTTGTTTTCTTGTTTACGAAATTTTTCTAAGCGTAATTTTCTGAAATTTAAGTTTTCTAAAAAGGAATTTCATAATGTTTTTTTATTCAACATTCAATTACTTTTTTCTCTTTTTACACTATTCTAAACTACTAAATTCTTTTATATCATTTTTTTACGAGTCAATAAAACTGCGAGAATAAAGTTCTGCAATACTAATATTATTATGATTGTACTTGGAAATCTTAAATTAACTATACTTATTCATTTTGCAAAGGGTTATAATTCTAAAGTTTCAGATAAATCCACAGACATCAAGTCTTTCTTAAACATTTATTAGGCTTTCTATACACACTCTTACGTTCACACTTTTCAAAAATGCTTATTAACTACGTTTTCAAGCGTATAACGTAATTTTCTAGAATTCATGAATGTACCCTTTCATTAAATCCCTTATCAAGAATTAAATTCCGCGACATCTGAAAGAAATACAGTTTGATGTCACAACTGAGATAAAATGGAAATATATATAAATTTATGTGCTCCTCAAAACCAATATTCGTAAGAAATGACTCACTTTAAATTACTCCACAAAATTCTATTTAAAAATAACGTCTAAAGACATTTTCAAAATTAGAATTATTAAAACTTTTTTCGTTAAAATCCTAAAGAACAATTTTAGAAATCTTATACATAAACTTAAATATGTAATAAAATATGTTTTTAGATAACGTAACAGCCCGGAATTATTTTTTGATTAAATTTAATTATGTATTATTTCATGCAGCGTTTGAAACTGTTAAGAATTTTATAATCACGAAAGCTACTTTGAGGTCCAAAATGGCATTTGAAGTTGATTTCTACTGGAATGTAAAATACTGATAAAATACTGTTTCTTTTAGTTATTTATGACTTTTTATCTGTGATTTTTTAAAAAAATTTTTAAAAGTTATAAAATTCGTTAAACTTAACATATTTTGAGTCTGTTCAAAATTTGAAATTTACAAAATCAAAATTTTTATCTGAAAAGCGCATACTGTAGATCACTCAATCCAACTAATATTTAAGTGGCAATGTATGTTATTTGTTAAAAAGCTAAATAATAACAGATGATTTCGTCTGATTGCGTTTAAAACGAAAGGACCTTATCTATCTAAATTTGTGTGATTAATTTTGTAGTTCAATTTAGTTTGTTCTTGAAATAGGGTGAACAAAACCTCTTACTAGATTTATGTGATTAATTTTGTAATTAACTTTCGTTTGTTCTTGAAACAGAGTGGACAAAAACCTCTTCGCCTATATGGGAGTTGTGATACCCTTCGATCAAGTCATCTTTGGTGCTGGAATTAACCGCCGGGCAACTCTTTCTCTTCCCCTGAAACTGAAACTTGACTTAATAGTTAAAGAGAAGAAACTGAAGACCTCTTGGACACCAGTCGCACCCCACGAAATTTACCATTTCAAATATGAACCATATACTTTCGTGGATTCTTATGCAAACAGTGTTCCTCAATCTCTCGAGCCATCATACTTACCAGTCCACCGAGTGCACAGGCATGAGGTAAAATATTATGTAACATACTTTATAACTGAGATCAGAGGTGGATTTATAACACCGTAAACTTCGCAATCGTAAGAGGCCAATCCAAGGGCCCATTTGCTAATAATGAATAGAATTTCTAAATAATCAATTCACTTTTTAAGAGCTATATTATAAACATATATGCTGGGAGGTCCCGCAGGGCTTTAGTATGCTATGTCTTAAGCTAAGAAGAGATTCAAATATTCACGAGATGTGAGTCCGTCGTATTATAAATCCACCGAGACTGAGTTACCGCTGATTGATTTATGCTCTTCTCAAAATAAATTAACTCTTTTTTGAGAATATATATATTGTCAGACTTTGTATGTATTATAAAAGTATATCCGTTTTATTATAAGCATTGACTTTAATTAAATTTTATATATATTTTTTTCCATTCAGCACTTCAGTCGTTTATTCCATGATGCTTTGGGAGTCGGTTTCGACATAAGAAGTGATTACGAGAATGAATTCAACGACAAGGGATCTTGGCTAGATTTCTTAGTTGAGAAGGACTACCGCGAAACTTTCTACTACCTATACGCCAACCCCAAATTTGAGCCTTACAACATAGATGTTGGATTTACCTACGCAGACAGTGATGCGACAAAAGAGGTTAATATTAAAAATTATATAAAATAAATTAAAATTTATATGCTTCAATTCTGTGTTTTGAAGAACTTAATACAACTTTCTCCGACAGGTTCACACGGAATTTACTTACAAATTCTATGACGGAGCATACACAATCAAACATTTCAGAGAAGCTGGGTTCGAGGATTATGAAAAGCAACATGGAGAAAGAGGTCCTTTATACACTAACGCGCTGGAAGCTGAAGTAACAGCACGTGGTGACAAAGAAAGAAAGATTCGAGGAGAGCTGACATGGACCAGAGATCTTTTCAGAACTTACCATAAAGTAAATGTTTACTATGACAGAACACCATTTTCGCACAAAGAGACAGAGAACTTGAAGGTGAGTTCAAATGAAACCAAAGCCGCTTAAAATAACATCCATTTGTAAATTAAAAATTTAAAAAATACACATTATGTGTACTTTTGGCATAATATACAAGGAAACTTGGTGCTGGGTTGGAATTCGGAAGAAGTCACGAATGTTTATGAATGTTATGAAGTCATGAAGTGCATAGTGTCTTGGTAGCATGGAGGTATTCAAAATACTCTCCATTCGAAAGTTATCTCAAGAAGCTGATGATAAGAGGAAATAGAAGACCCCCGGATCCGGGGATCTTCATCAAAATTGGTACGAAATTATGCAAACTTATATCATTACCTAAAAGGTGCCAAAATCTAAATGAACAGCTAACAAGCTACAGCTTGCATTTGGCTTGCATTTGGCCGCGATAAAATTTGTGAACATAATATGCCTGAGGCCCAGATCGGAAGGATTAGTAATAAAAATCATAAAAAAACAATGACAAAGAATACATATACACGAATATATACTTAAATGAAAGCAAAATAATAATTCTTTGTTAATTCCCAACCTATTAATCAAATCTTTAAAGGAAATATATTTTACCAACTTCTAAAAAATGGTGATTAATTCTATTTTACTTTCGATTTAAAGAATTCACATTAAATTTTTATATTTTTCATAGATGGAGATTAATTTTTTCTTGGCTGAATCTTACGCTTTATTGTAAGTCCTATTATAAGAACTATATTAAGGAATATAATTCAGTAGATAAATGGAAATATGACTTACGTGAAATATTTTTCAAAAGCTCTGTTAATTAGCTGATATCAAATAAAACAATGCTGAATGATAATATTAAAAAAATACGTTTTATACACGCATTCTTAAATCCAGAAGCATATACGTTATGCATATAATTTTAAATTAGCTTAAAATAGTAATATTTTGATAATGTTTTTGGCCTGTTTTAGTCATAGTAAGTAAGTCTCTTAAGTTTCCTTAAACATTACTGCGGAGGGATTAAAATTCTAAATAAGATTTAACATTGGTCTGGGATCTTATCCAGATATTGGTTTCTGAAGATTCATGATAATATTCAATATACTTAATGCGATTATATATTTGTCTCCAATTAGGTAACTACGTGCAAATAAATTTGAACTTAACATTTCGACTTCATATTACCTGCTTTTTTTCAGCAATAATAGAGTGAAAACGATTATCCACTCTTCCCATATGATTTCAATTATCTATGCGTTGGTTTAGAAAAGTCATATTCAGTACCGATCTTTACATATATTCTCAGAAATATGGTTACTTACAGAGCGGTTGTTATCATGGAGAAGTGATTCCCCCCCCCGAGAGGATTTATTTTATGTTTTCCTCGTAATTTCTATTTTACTACCTATTTATCATATTTTAGTGCATGCTATGAACTTAAAATTCGAGATAAGTAAATTAAACTCCTTTATAAACAGTTTTGATAAGTATCTTAATGAGTAATTAAAAAATAGTAATTTGAAAAGCATCACATTTTTAAATCCACTCATTATAAGTTTTAAAGGAGTTTTGTCTTTTAAAATGTTAGTGCATGAGATTTTCCTCTAGGAAAAGTTACATTCAGGAACTATATATTTTTTAATATAATGGCTAGATGCAAACCACAACTTTACCAAAAAAAATAAAATATTTCTATGAAAGGTGCAAAATTTCTATTTAGGTAATGTTAACCTGCATATTTCAGCTTGAGATAAGTCATAGGATATGTAAATTTAATTGGGATTATCAATTAAAAATACAAAAAAAGGCTAATTGCAATTTTTGAATGATCTTCCTTTTATTTCAGGTCTGTGCTAGCAGTTACTTGAGGTATCCCAAATACGATCTCGTGAAGTTAGCTACACTGGACACTTTGGACGTCGACCACACGGTGGAAAGCGAACTGAAAGTACACTTTGGAAAAGACTGCACTGCTGATCAGAAGGTAAGCTCTCCCTCTCTGTGTTGTTGATTGCAGATACAAGTATTAGAAATATCACTGTATTTTTATGTAAAAGTTATGATCATTCTTCAAGTAAAAATATGGGATTTAGTCCCATTTGGCACTTCAAACTGATTTTTTAAGAAACAAACCTTCAGAAAATAAGGTAAGAATCTTTAATAACAAGATCTATAAATCGCAATAGTAAAAACGTATTGCTACGTCTTATTTCAGCGACTAATTCCATTTAGGTCGTACAGAAATGAATGACACAAATGCTGCCACAGAGCGGAATGCAATTTATTAACAAAAAACTGATAGTACATCAGTTAGAAATAATCCCTTCCCATGTCAATAAACTTCTGCCATCTGGCTGGGAGGTCCCGCATAGCTTTAGTAAACCAGTCTGTGGGGGTGTTAGAGCACCACCTATGGACAATTGCATGCAATTCGGCAGAAAATTCACCATGCTGGCCTCTGACTGCTTCCTTCATGTTGCCAAGCAAGGCGCAGTCCGAGGTCTTGGTTCGAGGTTCAACCACTTTGCACACACATTTCTCATCTTCAAATCACCATTTGCGGCCAGCTCCAATTATGCATTTTGAGTAGCTCACGCCCAATCGTGTCTATTTCACTTGTTTTTCCTTCGCATAGTGTAATAGTTTTGTTGTGAGAGCTGTTGAGTCAATCATTTCTGTACGATCCAAGTAAATAAATGCACACTTTATTACAGATAAAAGTACAAGGACGTTTTGAAGAAACCGAAGAACAGCACGAATTCGAACGAAGACGTGAAGAACCAGATACTCCTGAGCATTACAATGAATATGCCTATTATTACAAAGAGTGCCAAAAGGAAAGAGAACGAGGCATCAACTACGGAGAATATTGCATGAGTTACATAGACCTTGCCACCACTGTTCACAAATACAGCTTCCACGCCAAATACGAAAATGTAAGTATTAGGAAATATTTTACACCTTACTTTTTCAGCTTCTGTCCGTGATCATATAAAGCAAAATATAACATTGAGTATGCAGAAACTGGAATAGAAAAGAATTCCATTGATATTTAATTCTTTTTCAGTTGAGCCCATCATTCTTGAACTTCACATACAAAGCGGGCGGGTTATTCAGGCACGTGCTGTATAACCACGCCGACCACAATGTCATCGATGTACATAACCCAGATGATGAATTCCACTTCGAAGCCAACTTCTCTTCTAAGCTTCCTGTTGCTGACATCCGTGTCCTGAAGCCAAGGTCTGTCAGCCACTACTACAATGTCTACGTCCCTTACTACACAGGATTCAGATCATACCCAATATTTGAAGACGCGCACGTGAAAAATTCCTTTAGTGATGGTACGCTTTTTTCTCTAATACTAAGCAGTTTGCAGTTAAGATATTTTGTACGTAGCAATTCGCTATTTAGAAATGCTCAGTAACTTTGCATATGCGTAGATATTTATAGTATATGTAAATATTTTTAGGTAAATTAATTGCCTTCAGTTTACATAGTTTGTGAAAGTTTAGTAAGCTAAGAAAGAAATGAGAAGTCAAATTAAAATTTTATTTCGAATTTTCAAAATTTGGATTTATTTTTAATACTACACTTGATTTTAGTAAATAAATTTCGGTTTTCAATTCTTGTTAGCTTTATTAATCTAAGTTTAAAGATATTTCCGTTAAAAATCTGTGAAATCACAACCATTTTTATTGATATTTTTAATGAGAATTGTACAGAGTTATTCTTTTTGTTTTTGTAATGAGAATTTGAGAAAAAATCCTTAGATGAAGTGGAGACGGAACGTGGCACGAAGTTTAAAACTAACCATCAATCAAAAATTAGTATGAGAGAAAAACGATTACTCTAAAGGATGCTTTATTTTTAATGAAATTGTTCCAATGTTAGCAAAGGTAAAATACAACTTAAAATACATTAAATTGTTATTTTACCGTTTTGCTCCATACTAGGAAGGAGAAGATACACAGGGGACTATATTTTGACATTATATTTTTATTTTATTTCCTTCAAACTGTAGGTCATTCTTTTTCTGTTTTAAATATTTTTTAAGTTATTGGGCCAAATAAAACTAATTTGAAGCATTCAAATATTCTTTCTAACAGTAATAACTGTTTATATAGCGTCATTCATATCATCTGGCTCTCATATCTATCAATTTACTTTTTTCTCATGTCATATAATTCTAGTATTATCCCAATTTGAAACAAAAGACAACCTGCATTTAGAGCCTTATTTAATATTTTTATGTGGTTGAATGGAGCAGTACCCTTTCTCCTTCGTTTCATTCTACCCCAGAATTAGTACTTAAGTTAAATGTTTAGTGAAGCTACAAAATGTGGTAAAATAAATTGGGTAACTTTATTTGTATAAGGTAACAGTTAAAGAAAAATGACTAACTTTGAGATATTATGACAGACTGATGAAAACCTCGGTGGTCATGATTTTATAATAGAAACGACATGAAAAGTAATTTAAAATAATCTCTACCGATATTTGAACAAACGTCTAATAGTAGTTCCACGTCTAATAATAGTCTAATAGTTCTTCTATGTTCAACACCTAAAAATAACAAATGGGAGCTCTCCTCTACTTCCTATTTCGCTGCTGTACTTCGTTCACCAGTTTCGTCTCGACTTCCGTTATATGCGGTTGGTATTAGGGAGATTTTTGCTCGAAATTTTGTTGACATAATCTATTTATAAAATACTTATCTCACTTGTAATTTTACTTACAGTATTTAAATTTTTTGTGTTTTAGTTTACTGCAAAATTGAAGGGGATAATGTGTTCACTTTTGATCGTTATGAGTATGAACTGCCACCAATCGATTGCTACAAAGTGATTGCCAAGGACTGCTCTCCGAACGAGCATTTCACTGTCTTAGCAACTAAGATCAACCATCCGAAATACCATAAGGTAAGCATTTCTAATGAAGTATGTTATTTGTAAATTTACCTTTGACCATAAGTTAAACATTACATACACAATTGTTGATAGTGAATTTAAGTGCTTTCTAGTTTCACTATCCAATTACTTTTGTAAACGTTAAACATTCTTCAAAAACACCATAATGGTATTATGAATTTTGTGAGAAAACATTTCTCCAAATTTAAGCTGAGACATGGTAGCACAAACTAATGTCTATGTGTCCTTCAGGGACTTCTACTATGCCACGCAAATTAGTTTTATTTATTAAAAAAGGTAAAACCTTTTACAGGCTTGCTAATTACAGTTCTTAAAAAAATAAACTCTCATTACGGCTGCATTAATAGTAACCTATCACTATACCCATTTGCATTCATACATACTACTGAAAAACTGCATACTGTTAAAGAAAAAATATGGACACAAAATGTAGCTCAGATAATTAGTAATACAGCTCTGTCAATGGTGGGAAAAACGATTCACTTGCGTACACTGCAATATGATAATTTAAATGTGAATGCGAAAATGCTAAAAATATTCTTAAAATACACACATAGATGTTTTATAGAAATATAATTAAGAAGCGAAATTCTGATATTTTATACAACTATAAAAAATTTTCGGCGCAGCTCTGAAGAATGAACTTGAATTTAATAAGTTCATACATAGACTGCAAATTTAGCTTTATGAATGCATGTTTGATCAGTTCTTTTGCATGTTGAATACTTCAATCGAATAATTCTTAACTGTTACGTGTGAAATGACGATTTTACTTTTTTTTTGTCTATAGGCTGTGAAAGTTTTCATTGGGAAACACAAGGTGGAAGCCCTTCCAGTTTCTGAAGAATCAGATATAATCGTTAGAGTAGATGGTAAGCGAGTGGCTGTGGCCAACAACGAGCCTTATTTGCATCGCGAAGGAGATAGTGAAGAACCTTTGTTCTATGTGTCCTTCAGGGACTTCTACTATGCTTTGCACTCAGAGAAATACGGACTCATAGTAGAATATGACGGTCATGGTGTTTTCGTCCAGGTGAGTTTTGCATTGTCTATAAATCGGCTCTTTTTAATTAAAATAATTTTATTCTCTTTTGCTCAAATGTTAAAAAGTATTCAGTTAAAAGAATTTACAAATTCCTATAATGTAAGATGATACGATTAAGAATATGTATTAGTAGATTTCTAATCTTAAAATTATTGCAAATATATAAGAAAAATAATTTTACAGCTTTTTGTAATGTTTCTTTTTAATTTTAGGTCTCACCATACTACAGAGCAAAACTGTGCGGTTTGTGCGGCAACTACAACGGACAGAAATATGATGGATATACCACTAAGGAAGGCTGCTATTTTGAGGATGAACGTGCATACGCTTACTCTTATGCCATTCCTTCCGAAACTTGCACAGTGCCTCACTTTGAACCAAAATGCCCTCATGAAGGTAAGCTAAAGTTTTTAAATGCTTCGCATGTTATACATTTAATTTTATAGCCAGCTTTCACAATATTTGCAATGACGAGCACATAGACACATTTCTAAATGAAAAAATAAAACTTTTGGTGATAAAATTCAAACAACTTAATTAAACTTGGTAAAATATGAAAGCATTATTCTTCAAATATAGAATCCAACCTAAACTCTAAATAATTTAAATAAAAAGGACAGTTTTTGAAGACAAGAAATTGGTGTTATTTCTTAATGCAAAGCCCAGAAAATATAAATTTATAAATTAAATAATAATAATAATATTTAAATATTCTCATTTCAGATAAATGCAACAGTATGCAGTAAGACGCTTAGTATCCCAGTATTATTTCCTACGAAACGAAGCTGTTCACCGTTATTTTCGAGATAATAAGAGTTATTCTTGACGCAAATCTGCTAAACAGTTGAAATGTATAATGATGAAACGTTAAATATATCCTGCCTAAAACAGACCTCATGCCCGCGGACAAGGAAAGCCTACCAAAGATAAAATTTATTTTTTAATTAACGGCAAAATTTGGGATGCGTTATAATTCCACTGGTTTAAATTTTCAGTAATATCTGAATCAAAATGCTGATCGATTCTACGAAAAATTTGTAATTATTCATATTCGCCTTTTTTTAACTTAGATTAAAGACCTTACCATGTCTTAATAAACAATTCATTTATATTAATTCAAAAACTTGCTCAGACTTTTGTGTTCAAAATGTGTGTACATTGCATTTAGTGACAACTTTAAAGAAACAATAACAATAAAGGCTCGTTTCCACTACTGCGTACGAACGCGTTGCGTCAATTGAAGACACGCCTACGGCATCCGTACAAGCGTTTCCACTGCTGCGTATGCGTAAAATATTTTCATTTTCCGCCGCTAGGTGTCACTGTAATATTTTGGCGCAAGCAGTTCGCAAGTTACGACGACTGAATTTTTCCCTCTTAAGCGAGTATTGTTTGTTTTGGATTTGATATGGAATTTTAGATAAGTAAGGTTATAATGCATATTATGAACATCACGAATTCCACAGAAGCTGAACTAAATTTAAAAAAAAAAAAAAAAAAAAAAATTTGTTGTTTCTAGAAGCCTTAAATATTATGAAATAATATATATTATTAAAACTAAAATGTACTGTTAGTGAAAAAGTAACACAAAAATAAACATAAATAAAATAAAAAAGTTAAAGGGATTAAAAAATAGTTGGTACTTTAAAAGTACAGAGCAACTGTGTAAGGAAAGGTTCACAATATTTAAGCAAAATTTGCTATGCTTGTATACCGCTGATTTCAGGGTCATAGCTGGATAATTTATTAGAAATCTCGTTTGTTTTAAAATGCACTATGGGCAGTTATTTTTATACATAATCCATAAAATATTATTTTTAATTTAAACATTTTTAATTCATATCTCTTTTTATACAAGAAGTTATAAAAATAAGATTTTTCTTTTATATATACACACACATTAGGTAAAGAAAATGGAAATATTTAATTAATAATTCCTGCGCTTCTGCAGGAGAGGACTGAATTTAAAAGCAATTATTAAAAGCAATTATTATAGTAATTTTTTGTTAAAAAAATGTTTAGGGCATTAATACTGTCTCATGTTAATTGGAATGAAAGTTTAGAGTCGTAAACATCCCCCCAAGTCTGAGCGCATGTATATACATTCACATAAAAGTGAAACGAATATATATATATATATATATCTGCAGGGTTTCAAAATAAATTAAATTTAAATAATTCTCTTGCGCCATTGCTGCAAGGAATGAAATTTGAATTTAACAAACATTTTCTATTCGTAAAAATTAAAAGTTAATTAAATTTAAATGAAATTTAATGCAAACAAATAAAGGATTAATTATTGCTGCGACCTAATATACAATATCATTTAAATTCTGAGAGCATATGTAAATCAAGTGCAAGTATCAAAATCCAAATCCATGAATAAATATATAATTCGAAAAATTTATTTATCCTATTATTCAGTTATGCATTTTTATAAGTTTTTTAGGATTAAATCTATCCTATTACTCATTTATGCATTTTTATAATTTTTTAGGATTAATAAGCTATCCTATATTCACTTACGCATTTTATAATTTTTTTAGGATTAATAATCCTATTATTCACTTATGCATTTTTATAATTTTTTAGGATTAATATCCTAATATTATCCATTATTCACTTATTGCATTTTTTTTTTATTAAATTTTTAAGGATTAATAAATTTTGGAATTATATATTTATCATGGATTTGATACTTGCACAGCAATAATTAATCATTTCTTTGTTTGCATTAAATTTCATTTAAATTTAATTAACTTTAATTTGCTTTTTACGAATAGAGAATGTTTGTTAAATTCAAATATATATGTACAGGATATGCTTTAAATTAGTATTATATAATTTTCAAACTTTTTTGCGGGAAAAAATTTAAATAAATAAGAGCATAAATAAACCAATATATTTAATGCATAATAATAGAAATCAATTATAAAACACGAATATAGATCAAATTGGAATAAAAAGGTAGAAAGTTGCAGACATGGTGCAAAAAGCGTATGGGATTCGAACACACGACTCAAAAAGTAGACATCGTTACCATCAGCTTACCACTAAGCTAGGATATTACAACGTAAGTCGCATGCATATTTTGGGTTATATACATCATCAAGTAAATCAATTCTTAAAAACTTAAGTTTTTTGGTCCTATTTCACTTTGCTATTGTCTGAAAAATTCACCAGAGTTTGTTCTTCAGCTTCTAGTACATTTTTTGGAAAAATCATTATCTTTTAAAGTGGCGTTCCGATTGAAGTTAAACGGGGCTAAAAAATGCTATTATTTATTATTTAAAAAGAAAAACATATTTATGTGCCAAACAATATCCAAAAAGATTTATAAAGGGAATACAAATTTAACATACTCTTCAATGAACTGGAGTATTTAAAAGGCTATCAAATTTAATTTATAATTAATGTTTTTAGTTTTTTTACCTGTTTCAAAAGAAAAAAATAGCAAATCTTTTTAATCATATCTAATTTGCTATAGCAGTTTGATATAGTCAGACATTCATTTTCATTAAAGCTAAATGAGTATGCAGAACTAAAAAATGATTATCAGAACAAATTTTGCTATTTCATGGACTTGGAATGATAATTTTTGCCGCTGATTTTCTTGAATGAACAAGTACTGTAGTTTGCAGTTTATCTCGTTTTTCTTATCATTTAAACTAAATTCAGCTGATTGCTGTCATTTTCAGCACGCAGATTTCTCGCTATAATGTTAATTCAGAAATAAGTATTTCTTAGCAAAACATTCTTTCCCTATTAGCGAGCGTTCATCGCTACTTCTGCCGCCATTAATTTTTAGTCACTGCACCTGATTGCTCCTTTTTCACCACGTGACCCCAACGCAACCGCAGACATACGGATAGAAGTTGAACATTGTTGAACTCCATCCGTATGTCTTCCGTCACCGCACACCGACCGGATTGCAGATGTCAATCAAAGTGAATTCGCTCGCTGATTGGAGAAACGCATACGCACCGCAACGCATACGCAGTAGTGGAAACGGGCCTTAACAATCAATGTTTATAAAATATCAGTTATCAAATGTATTTTGGTAATTGTTTATTTATTTTAAAGTGCGTTTTTTAATTAAAAAAATTTTTCAAGGCATACATTAAGCAAATTATTGTCAGTGGCATTTAAAAACATTACAGTCAAATGATATTCTTATTTAATTATACAGCAGCTTTCAGATGTTTAAAAGATAGCCATGAGTGCTTCAGACAGCAATCATGTTTTGAGACGAATGTAATTCAGTATATTTTTTCTTAAATTTCTTATCTAATATACCGGGATAAATCTAAATTCTTCTCTGTAGGTGGTTTTGGATGCACCATATTGCATACCAAGGTTCTGCAATTAACTACCGGTAAAGTTCCTCAGACTTGCTTTTCCATTGAGCCCATCGCAGAGTGTGCTGCCCACTGTCAACCACGAGGTACCGTGACTCGCAAATTATCTTTCCACTGCTTGCCTGCCAAGGACGACTCCACAAAAGACTTGTTAAGGCAACAGCAATCTCGTGTCCTTTACGAAGTTAGAAGGAAGAGCGTTGACCATGAAACCGAAGTCGAAGTACCTGATGGCTGTTATAAGGAATAAACTTTCTCCTTCCAGAAACAGGACACGGATAGTACGAGAGGCAACGGACATATTTTTTCAACTAAATAGTCATACATTAGCGAGTATGAAAGCATAAACGTTTCAAGAACTGTCTCTATATTAATCTAATAAATCAGAGCAGCCTTTAAACCATTTAAATTAGAGAACTCAGAATTGATTTTCATATTAGAGACCTTGAAAGGCAGCTGTCCAATGTCTTTGATTGAATTGTTATCATCTAGGAAAATATCTCTTAATTTTTAAGGTAGAAAAGGAACAGTGGCCATATTCATTAAACTTATATGACAAAAAATATTTTGAACAAAATAATACTTGTATTATATTTGATTTAGTTTTGTAATGTGCATAAGAGTTCTTGATTTTCTTCTGCTGAGCTATGTTACGCATCACTGTTTCTGTGGGTAAATACCACATAATTGTTACAAAATATCTCAAAGAAATCAAGTTTGTCTTTCTTTCCTCTCCCCTTCGAGTTCCGTGTCCTCGTTTAAGGAGAACAGAGCTTAAAATTTAAAGAGCTTCATTACTAGAAGCAATGTATTTGCAAATGTATGTTCTAATGAACTGTTTCAGTGTATTTGTGTTTTGTTCGATAAACCATGTTTTGTATGCCAGCTAAAAATGTGCATAAAAATAAATTGGAGTTCTTTCAAAGCAAAATCTTGTTTTTAATTTCATAGTCATTGATGCAGATACGGAAAGTTTCTAACGAAACAGTCAGTGATTCAAATACGAGATGTTGTCAGATGATTAACAGAAAACGGATTTAACAGAAAACAACTTCTTCTGTATTTACTATAGAACATGCAAATAAAATATAGAAAGACAGAATATACAAAGACTTGTCCTTAAATGTCCCAAACCAAATAAATTAAAAAGCTGAAAAATTCATGATACAATTTTTTGCTCTACATGAAAATGTGCTAGAAAACCTTTTAAGTGTGAAATTTCTAATTATTAGAAGAATTTTATTTATAACTTACAACACGTATAATTTTGATTTTATAATTTCATTCATTACTCACATCTTATTATTCAATGTGAAAACAATTAATTTCTTTGCTTTTGTCCTCTAACATGGTCATAATACCTTTTGCTGAATAAGTTACGTAGGCAACATGCAAACATAGTGAAGTTTTTAAAACGAAATTAGTATATTTAAGTTATTAATAAGAGGTTTGCAATTTAATACTTGAAAGCAAAATCATAATAATTTTAGATATACATAATAATTTTACATTATGACTACAATTCAAAACAATGAACACAAGAACTTTTACAGAAATAAAATAATGAAACATATGTTATAAAAATCAATCGATGATGCAATATGTTAACAGATTAATATATTTGAAAGTCGAAACTGTGATACACAAAATACGTATGCATTCTTTACAGCATGAGAAATATGCATATATGACAAACATCTAGACTATACATTAAAACCTCACACAGGATTTAGAACTAGTTAAAGTAATTACATTATACCATAACATATACTTTCAAATTTGTATAAGTAATTGAAACTTTTAATCTGATTTAACGTCATGTGGTTCCTTCCATTGGAGGTCCGTTACGATTCAAGAATTTGGATGTGATCGGGCTCCAGATGTAGTGAAAATAAATCACTGCATCATCACTGCTATCATTGAAGTTGTAGATACATTAGGTATTTCTGAAAGCAGGAGAGAAGAAAAATGAGCAATGCGCTCTCCGGAATTCGAACCACGGATGTCTCGAATACGCGCAAAGAGTGGTGACCACTACACAACGAAGGCATGCTAAGGAGGCGGGAGAAATACCTGATAAAGTAGTCCAAGGAAAGTAATTAAGATGTTTCAAACAGGATTAAAGTAACATATGCTTTATCACGAAAAGGGGATACATGAAGAATTTGTAAAGTCTGTAAAACACTTTGAACATTTCACATCATGACTGCATAGTGGAAATGGATAGGGTAATATACTACTAAATACATTACCTTTTCAGTACGCAGTCATGATACATTTGAAATCCCTGAAGAAAAAGATTGTCAATTTTAGGTATTTTATTTTTACTGTTGACAAATATTTCAATTTCATTAACTTTGCCCTCACTGTTCTCATGCAGTGAAAACAATTTTTCCTTTGCAGAATGTGTTAAGAAAATATTTAAATAAAAATAACTTACTACAACTTATTATTTCAAATAATATGAGAAATTTACTGAAACATTTATAAATACTGATGTGCAAAATGACATGCGTAAGAGCACAATATTAAAAACTTCAAAATTGTTTTGAACATTTTGTATCTATGGCATAACTCCCAAACATTTCTTTCAAAATTTATTCTTCAAAAGTTTATTTGATATTTATTTACATTTTCACTCAACATTTTCATTAATACCCATACTTCTTCAACTAACTTTTGCACCAGGTGGTCTCACTGAAAAAGAAAAGTTTCTCATCAATTCAGATTCTTTCACAGTGAAGAGAAACAAAATAACCATTTAACTATTCCATTCTTAGAATTACATGCTAACATGAATTGAGTTTAAAGATAATTCACATGAAATGAAAGCAAAAGTGTAAATTGATATAGTATTATAGCCAGAAACAAAAAAGAGAGCGGTGTTCTAAGCGAAACACATTTTCTTCCCTGGTTTTCAAAGTCATTTATAACATATTTTAGATGAGTTGTGAAATATATGCCTGTACTACATTACATGTAAAGCTGCAAGATAACTTAAAACAAAATCCGGAACTACAAGGTTTCGCATTTTTTGGAAATGAGGGTTAATATTTTAACACTAGAAAATGCTAAATATATAGTGTCTTCTCTAACACATTTAAAACGTTATTTAAAGTAAAAATATAATTATTCTGCAAAATTTTCATTTCCGGTTTTATAATTTTTAGATATATTACTTTAACACCTCCTTAAACTACAATTAAAGCAGAAGTTTAATGTTTGGATACGTAAGGAATAACAAAATGTTACTAAGGACTTTGATTCATATTATGTTGGTTGACATGTGTATAATTTGATGATTAGCACCATCAAATTATACACATTTTTTAATATACTTGTAGCGCTGATTTCAGAATTAGAGCCAGTTTAGCTTATAATTTGTAGGTTTAAAAAATAGCTTATCTCATACGTTGACAGAACGATGTATTACGATTAATTAAATTATAATAAATTAAAAATTTTTTCAAATTAAGGCCTACATAAAACTAATCATTTTTTCAATTCATATAAGAAACGCTTTTAAAACATGTTCGCCTTTAGATTGATCAAGAAGTCACTCAAAGTAATTTGTAATCACATAACATCGCATCCTTCTTGATATCTGTGGTCTGTAATTTTGACTTACTTATGAAACTTTTCTACGTGCTTTCCATTTAAATCACGAATATGCTTTGAAAAGGAATATGAATAATTAAGTAGGTAACAAATCTTAATACACATATTAAAACAAAGGCTACTGAAATTGTTAAACACCTTCTCCATTATTCAGTGTAGTTCTTTGATTATCCACTGCTCAAACAATCAATAATATTTTAAGTTTTATTCATTTATTTAGGATGCAGTCCGGCCCGCCTGACGAGCGAAGCTCGTCTTATGATCACACACACACACACACACACACACACACACAAAAAAAAAAAAAAAACATATAAAAAATACAATACAATAGTGCTTGATGATGAACGATGAACTATCTTTCGGGTCTGAATTTTTTGTGGAAATTTTGTTCTGACAATACAATAGTAAATCAAAGTTACAAAGTTAAAAAATCTGATGTGTACACCACATGACTTCTTTGAATTGGAATATTAAATTATACGCATTTTTCTTGCATTTCATTTAAACTTATTGGATTTAATTAAATCTACTTCGCCGACAGCGCATAAACCACAATAGAATAAATGCATTCTTTAAAATTCACTCTAGTATTTGTTTACCATGGCGACACTCTGGCGCTAGATTCACTTAACAGTATTAATAATTATATAACAGTTAACTTATATAATAATTTCATAACGGAAACTAAGTTAACTGTTATATAATACAATAATTATATAACAGTTAACTTATATATTTCGTTCATATTATAACTCAGAATGCACAAAATTTATATCATTTAAAGAATAGAATTATCTAATCGTTGCCACATGTTCTATTCAAATACTATAATAAAGCTAGAATGATGTATAAAAGAAATTAAGCAAACAAAACAAAAAAGAAACAGTTTTTCACAGACGATTGAGTATTTCTCATTCAATTAATTCAGTTCTCACTTCGCGAGAAGGCAAAAACACATAAAAACTCAAAATATCTATATTAAAAATTACGAAGTAAATCTTAAACACTTATTTCCTCGAAAAAATTCCAGAAAGGATTAAAGCATGATTTAAATAATAAATGAAGGCGTTATCTTTGTTGTTGCTAAGCTAAGTTTCTCTAGATTGTCAACAAATCCACTAGTCTCCTGTTCAAATGTAAATATCAATGGCCGCCATTAAAAAAGGCTTAGAGGCACTTAAACAACTTTAAAAATTGCTTGATAATTCTAAAAATATTGCACACAGATTTACTAAAGGCATAAAAAATCCTTAACCGGAAGATAAAAAACAACATAATTCAATCATTTTTAAAGCAAAAAAATGTACAATTTACAAACATATAAGAGTAAAGAAACTGAGATCACTGAGCCGGGTAACAGAGTGGATATATATATAAATATATTTATATACGTTTGTTGGGGCGTGCGGCCGATTGCAACCAAAAATACGAGGTGCACATCTACATGTTATAGCAGTCCTATATACAAAAATTTCAACGTTCTGAGGCTACTCGTTTTTGAGTTATGCGAGATACGTACGTACGCACGCACGTACGTACATACGTTCGTACAGACGCCACGAAAAATTCTCTTCAGAATTCATTTTAAAGCAGTTTTATAACTTTTTTTGAAGGAAAAGAGTATTTTATTCTGTCCTTACGTACAGATATCACGCAGAAACATCGTTAAATTGCATTCGATAGCGGTCAAAATGGATATTTTCGTTGAAATATGCTGCCTGAAACTTTTCGCGATTACAATACTTCCTTTTTACTTCGTACAAGGAAGTAAAAAACCAGTAAGACGTCACATTACGAGATAATAAAGAACAAACAAGTAATTAAGGATTAGTACAACATCACGTAAAATCAAAATAAATAAGGGGATAGTAAGACATTAAGTAAAACAATATAAAACAGACAAAAACTAATGCTAAGCAAGTTTTCAAAGTCGTACAAATAGTCAAATGTTGAACTCAAGCCACAATTTCAATAATTTTAAGTCTTATATAAAATAACGGTGTAAGCAAAATGTTTTTTTTTTTTGCAGAAAACTGGAACAAGAGTGTATTAAATGCAAATTATTCTCATTTTCAAACTTTCGAACATGCAAAATGATGTTGGTTGGTTAGAGGGAGGCCAAAAACAAGCCGAATTAGCAGAAGCTACTGGAGTTTCACAAAATGTGATTTCCAGTCTCTGGAACCGTTTTTTGGAGACTGAAAATGCAGGCCGAAGCCCAGGCCAAGGTCGTAGACGTGCAACAACGCTAAATGAAGATCGGTATTTAATGTTAGCGGCTTCGAGACACCGAAATACAAATACCACTCTTCTTCAACAGCACATTTGTTTGGCTACTGGCGCCACAATTTGGACTCAAATTGTCAGAAACCGGCTGCACGCTGTAGGTCTATATACTCGCCGACCAGTGGTATGTGTTACGTTAAGAGCAAGGCATCGTCGCACCCGCAGGGAGTGGGCAACAGAGCATGTGAACTGGAAAATAAGTATTCTTTCAGTATTCTTTTCTTTGACGAATCCCGCTTTTCTGTTCATCCTGATAATAGGCATATTTTCGTCTGAATAGAAGGGGGCACTAGAAACAATCTTGCATTCGTACACAGAAGTTTCAGATTTGGCGGTGGGGAAGTGATGGTCTACGCTGGCATCTCCATTGATGGGCCCACCTATCTCCACATTATTCGAACCGGTCGATCGGTCTGACAGGTAGCTGATATAGGCAAGAGATCCTCAAAGTCCCTATGCTGCAGCAATTGGAGATGACTTCATGTTAACGGACAACAACTGCAGGTCACATCGTGCTGACTTGGTGCATAATTTGCTTTTCGAGAAAGGAATCAGACGAATGAAACTGTCAGCGTGTTCTCTGGACATGTTCGCAATACAGCATGTTTAGTACATACTAGACAGACGGGTTTCTAGCCGTCTACCACCCCCACAAACTCACCAAGAACTGGAAAGCTCTCTTTTGAAGGAGTCGGACAGAATACTTCAGCTGCTCTTTAATAGCCTCATTGACGCCATGACTCAACGTTACTGGTCCTTTACTAAAAACGATTTTCTTTCAAGGAAACACTTTTTTTGTTCTTTTTTTCCTCATATGCACGAATTGTGTTTTCTTTCCCCTTTTATACCCATATGCCTAATAAAATGCATTTCCTTAGGCAAACATGTGCAACTGTTTTCTCATATAGCCTACCACGTCTGGAGATCATGTATCAGTCACCTAAACAACAACCAGCCGCAAGATCCACTTACAACTTTGATATCTTTAAATTGTTTTGAGCAGTGTATATTGAAAAAATATTAAATAATTAGAAAAGAAAAATGTGGAATAGACATTAGACGCAATCCTGTTCGTAAAATTCATGAAAATATAATGTGTTATAACCTGTACTATCTGTAAGCTGATAAAAATACTTTCTTTCAGTTACCATCCTCAGTTCAATGAATTTATTTGTTTCATAAATTAAGCATGCATTTCTTTATTTAACGTTTTTTACACTCATGTCCATAAATTAAGGATAATTCGGCGTCACGTGGAAATCGAACTCTAAAATAAATATATCACCTGTAAAATCACTACACACATCTTAAAGAATCATATGCAAATTTCAGGAAGTAACCAGATGACACCGATGGTACGTCACAATGACGAGAGTGTAAGAGAATGATATATAAGAAATACAGGCAACGAAGTAAAATTGTTCGCAGGCGCTTTATAAGCATTTCAGTGCAAAAACCGAATAATTATGACACAAAGTACGCATTTGGATGATTTTTTTACTTGGTAGAATTATCGACCGTCTGGAATGTGGGCGTACCCAAATGGAAGTATCAGACGAACTTGGAATTGCCCAGAGTGTCATCTCCAGGCTTTGGCAACGATTCCAAGATGATGGTAATGTGAGTAGACGTTACAGCACAGGTCGCCCCAGAGTTACACAACGCCGAATGAAGGACCGGTATTTGGCAGTTACTGCCAAAAGAAACAGGCGGAGCACAGCCTCAGACCTGTCTCGTCAGCTCTCTTCAGCCACTGGTACGACAATTTCAAGGCAGACCGTGTACAGACG